GAGGTTCTGATGTAGGTAAATGTCTCTCAAGTGAAATGGATTTGTATTGTGCTGGGTGCTGTTCATTTTAAGTCTTTGATCCGATTGCTAGAAGTTTGCATCGAAAGCCGCTTCTGATGATAGATATGCGAAACGAATTTTATGCTGATTTTACAGTAAAACTTTAAACATCCGTTTGTTTTCATTTTTCGATTCATTAATTTCGGCGATTTCCAAAATTTTTCGGAATAAATAAAGTGATTCTTCTCACAGAGTCTTTTGAAAGCTGAAAGTGAAATCAAATGTTGGTTGGAATCCAAAACAATATACGACAAGACATGATGAACGGGCTCTGCGTCAAAGCGACCAGCCTCAGCGTGCGACTACATTGTCATGGTCCAGAGGGATGCATGTTCTGCCTCCGTTTATGACTCGTCTGCTGTACCGCATTGCTGAAGGTAATCTTTTTAACCTAAAACGGTGCAAACAAATGGCGTCTTTTTCTCTCCCCAGAGCAGTATTACTGCATACTGAATTTTTAACAGACTGGACCTCGGTCACTCTGAAAAACGCATCTCGAGCATTTTTAGTAATCACTTAAGCGCCAACGCCGCTAAAGAGATCGCTAAAGTGCATTACAAAAGTCCGAAGTTCTCCCAATTTAATTAATTTTCCTTCAAAATTCACAACTTCAATAGCGTTCCTTTAACGCACAAGAAAATTCTCTACAAAGTGGCAATTCATCCCTTATTTTCTAATTTAGTCCATCATAATGTCTTCAAATTTTTTTCAAGTCACAGATTATCACAATTTTCAGTTCTCGACGGAGAATTTGTCCGCCTCCGTTAGCGTACTATGTTTGTGGAAAGTAAAGGTTAGTTATTTGAAACTTTTTTTGCCGCGTGAAATGCTTTTGAAATATGCCCGAAAACTCGAAGAGCACCAAACAAAGAAATTTGGCCATGTAACATGAAGTTAGATACCGCGAAAAAAAACTGCCGCCGAACTCTGGTATTTTGCGCATTACGACTAAATTTGCATGCTTCTAGCAATCCTTTTAGCAGCGTTAGTCTCTAAGTGATTACCACCCAGATGCGTTTTTCGAGTTACCCAGGTTCGAGTACTGTCAAAAATGCAGTCTGCGATAAAAAATTGCACTGTGGATAAAAAGCGACGCCATTTTTTTTTAGGTCAAGAAAGATCACGCTCAGCGACGCGAGTCAGCAGATCATTTATAAAATAGCGCATATTCATCCCTCTGACCACGACAACGTAGTCCGAACGCTTGGTTGGTGCTTTGACACCAAAACTCTTCAGTTTGTCTATCTCCGCCACTGGATTTCGCTTTTCGCTTTTTTTTTTTTTTTGAGGATAAATAAACTCCAGAAAGAGTTAAACATTAAACTACAGCGAAAATAGCGGAGGCTTGAACAGACGACAAATATGGATACTCTTGTTTCTCTGTCGGACTTGCACCGATCTCTTTTTCTGCATATATTCCTTTGATTTTTTCCGCTTTGGTTTGCTCTTTAAGTTTATAGAAAATGAACGAAAGATTTTTTTCTTTTTCCTGAACTCAAAAACTGTGCTCTTCCGCAAATCTAAAGAAGTACATCGATTTAAAGTTTTCTGAAAGGAGGTTGTTTGCTCAGCATATGAATTTTCAGCATGCTTCAAGTTTCGAAATCTCTCTCTACGTCCCTTTTTCGCAATGAAGCTTTTTCTATTCTTCAACCATTCACTTTGCTCACCATCTTATTTCTCCTTGGGTTTCTTCTGATCAAAGCCGGCAGTCGTTGACGTCGAGACGGCCACCGCTGGATCGGAATGAGGCCAACGAGTTGCTCCGCGAGCTCACCGAGTCGTCAGCCACAAACTTTAAAAACGACTGCCTCTTCGTTATTTTCAAACAGAATAAAAAGTCCCTTTAAAACCCTCATAGCAAACTTCATGAAATCTCTAAACGTTCAAAAGATTCCTTAAAATGGAAAAGCTTCCATCTTTCTCAAAACTTTTCATTTATGCACTTTCACCTATATAAATTAGTTCCAACGAATCTTAGATGCCGGGTTTTTTCAACCTGGTTTCACTCCAGGCTTCAGTGAGGCCAGCCTGTCAACCTCTTGGCCCCCCGGCAACTTACTGCCCGGCTCGGCCCTAGGGAAGGCCTTAAATGAAAATGACCGGCCCGGCCGAAAACTCAAGATCTACGGGGTCGAATCGCTTTTTTTAACGAGAAAGTGGATATTTTTGCTCATTTTCTTATAGAGTTATTGGAAATTAAATTCGAACACTACGAAACGATCATATAGCTTAACCCAGCTTGCTCTATGGACTGAATCCGCATCCGGCGTGGACGTGGATCTTACTCAGATCGCGTCAGCCGATCTCACGAGCTCTTGCGAGTGAGATTCATTCCAACCAGTTCACGAAACTATGATTCACCAAGTAAAATAATTTTTTCCGTAAACATTTTCGAAGCGAACTTCAAGCACTTTTTCGAAGCCCGGCCTGCAGAGATGTGACGGAACAGTTCCGGCAAAAAAACGCGAAGTGGGAATTTTGAAGGGAAAATTTTTAATCAAAAATAATTGTGAAGCTATGCTCATGGGAAAGTATAGAAATTCAGAAAAGATTCCAAAAATAAAGTTACCATTTCAATGAAAAGCAAATACAAAACTGCAATTTTTCTGAGGTTCCGCGTTCCGCACTTTTTGCGGAACTTTGACCTTGTTTTTTCTCCACTTTTCTGAGCTATGACAGCCAAATTCAACAATTAGTTATTTGTTCTATACTTTCCCAATAGGCATTAGCTTTTCACGATTATCTACTTATTTTTGATTAAAAATTTTTTGAACTTCAGCACCTGTACATTCTGCCGGCCTGGCCTGAGCCCACCCAGGCTTTTTTTATATAGTCAATGTTTTCCCGACTTGAAAGGCGAGGGAGGCGTGGCGTGGGGGGCGTAGCGTAAAAGTGTTCACGGTCTGGCACGTGTTCAATTCAACCACTCCTCGACTCTTTGAAAATCCTGTTTTCGCTCTTTTCTTATTCCTTTTTCAATTATTATTGATTATGTTCATGTATTCATTAAAAATAGTAGAAAACATTGAAAAGATCATTGCCGATTTTTAAATAGTCGAAGGCAATTTAATTGAACTTCGTGCCAAGAAGCGCCGGTAATTATCACCATTATATGTGAATACCCTGCAATAGGGGCGCACTTGGTTTTACGCATTATTTCGCGGAAACTGAACTATTTCCGATGGTAGGACGAAACATTTGATCCGCAAAAATACGTCGCGTGAAAATTGCGACCACATAACTTATGTGAGCCACTTGAAAATTTTAAACCTTTAAATTTTGTCCATTTAAATTAGAAATTACTTTGCATATAAGGCTTTCACTTTCTGTATTTTCTCTGTTTTTCTTTGTTCTGGTCTTCTCAAACTCTGCTCTAGTACTGATTCTCATTTCTGTTGAGTTAGTCCTGGCGATCCCAGGGATTTGATAACGTTTTGAAACCTAATTTCTCGAGTTTTTAATCCTTTTTTCTTCTGTTTTCCCAATTAATTCGTGCCATAAATCATTAAGTTCAAAATCTGTCAACTAAATACGTTTTCCATGTTTATAACAAAAAATGACAGATCTCTATTGATGATAATGATTGAAATTTCTAGAACCACCGAAAATGCGCGGTTTCAGTTCTTGAATCAATCAATATCAAGAATAAAAGGGAAAAAATTGAAAAAAAGGAAAAGAAAGAAATTCAAAAGTCATCATCTTGAGCAATTTTAAAATTTTACGAAAAATTTTGAAGGTTTAAAATTTCGTGGCTCATAAGTTATGTGGTCGCAATTTTCACGCGACGGCTACTTTTGCGGACCAAATTTTTCGTCCTACCATCCTATTTCCATCTCACCTCGCTTTTTCTGAGTTTTACTTATTTGTTTTCATGATCTATAATCAAACTACAAGATGGTGAATACTTACTGCGACGAAAGGAAAGGGCTACCGTTCGCGTGAAAATTCCAAAATCGAAAATTTCAATGAGACCGTGTAGTCATCATCAGGGGCTATACGGAACCGGCATCGTGAGCCTATCGGCCCTTGGCCATTATTCCATGCCCCGTTTGGCCTTAGAGAGGCCTCAAAAAGAACGGCTCAAATTTTCTTCAAGTCGAATATCGCTTTTTTTTACAACAGAAGTCACATTTATGCTTGTTCATTCACTCACAGTTCAACAGAACCATAATTTAACAACATTTATCAGTGAAATTTGGGAAAATTTCGAGTTGGCCTGACCTAAGCCTGCGCAAACCTTTTTTCTCAAAATGTGGCCCTAAGTCCGCGCCCGGAAGACGATATTGTTGACGCTACTGACTAACTCGCAAAAAAAAATCACTTAAATATAGAAGATAGTCGTCAATTTTAACGTTCAATGGGATGTTCGTTCGATTTTTTTTTTTTCACCGTTTACCTGTTTTAAACATAAAAAACGGTCTTGCTTTTTAAACTGTTATCCAGCTTATCTGTTTGTGTGAAAATTCAAAGTGTAATCCCTGCAAAGTACACTGCAGTTTTTCCGAGCTATTTTGAAGCTCACCAAACTTGTGGCAAAATTCGATCTCGATCATCTACGTGCTGCAGAAATTCGTTTGCTACGACATCTTCGAGCTTTCAGCACGTGCCATAAAATATTTATTATTCCAAAGTTCATGAAGTGGATTATAAATCATGAAACAAATGAAAACTCAGAAAAAGCGAGGTGAGATGGAAATGATTCGATTTCTCGAAATATGCGTAAAGCCAAGTGCGCCCTATTGCGAAGTGTTCATTATAATGGTGATAATTACCGGCGCTTGTGCCAAGAACCGCGAACGCACACACGTTAAAATTCCGCACGCTTCCGCGTCAGGCAGGCTTGTGCGCGAATTTCCAAAGATCTAGAATTTTACAATACTGTTATTCTGAATATATTTTGAAACATTATCGTAGTCATTCAAAAATCTGAACAGACTATATGTCTGGATCAGATTTTGAAATTTGCTCAAGTATAATGACGTCATCTCGAAAACGCTCTGTGGATGGCCTCGCTCTCTGATTGGTTTATGCGGCGCCATTAGGGGCGAGCTTCAGCGAGTAACCTTTGACATTTGAAATCCGAACAGACTGTAGGCGTAAAATGCAAAGCTCTTTCTTTGCAGGATGCGTGTAACTGCAAAATGCCGGCATAGGCACCTGCTCTTTTGCACGATTTCAGTATAGCTGATTCACGGCTGGCTTTGAGCCGTCGAGAGGGTCCCTGCCACGAAAAGAGAGACGAGACAGGGCCCCTGGTTGGTGGAGGTGCAGACAGGCCACGCCTTTTTGCGTCCCGTTGCCAGCCGCGAATCGTCTATATACGGGCACGGCGGTGATCGCGAGGCTCGGTCACGGCACACCGCGTATCGCATGTGTTGATTTTAAGCTTCTCGAACCTGCCGACGATTTTATAATCTATGATTTTGTGTGATTTGCGAGATGTCCGATTGTTAACTTTTATAGCTACTTTCGAAATATTTCTTTTCTAATTATAGATTTCATGAGCGTGGCGAACTGACGAAGTTGGTCTTCTAAGCACGCTTCTTTCAGACGCCAAACTTCTTCGTTTGGAAACGAAGGGTGGAACTGAAGAACTTCAAGGGACCTTTTCAGGTTATTTTGAAAAATAAAATAAGACCAATTAATAGTTTTAAGAACTCCTGAAGGTAAAATTCGACGTTACCAACATGTTCGATTTTCAGCATGAAAGTATAACCATTCCTCGATCCGTCTCGTCGAGATACGTACGAATCATAAAGCTATTTGGCGCTGACCACTTAGAAAAATTTAAGATGAACTTTTATTAGTTTTCAAATCAAGTAATTATTCAGAGGAATATAAGTGTTTGCTTTTTTCTTTTCATGCATTACTTAAGAAATAGGATCTTGGTTTTAAGGCTTCACACGGAGGCGGAGCGCGCATAGCGCAAAAGCCGACTGTGGTCGCTTCGAAAAACTTTCTAGCCACAGTGAACAATTGTCAACAAATGAACTACTTGACATAAAATCATGTAGTTTCAAACGTGGACACTAAAAACACTATCAAGTAGCTCTAAACTAAATTGGCGTTTTAATGCAAAGCGAAGTTTTTGAAATTTGGAGTTTTTTCGGTTTTCGGCACACCATGTCATTTCTTACTGGCGCCAAATACTCTATGATATTCGTACGTATCTCAATGAGATTTTGATCCAATGCGATTATACTTTCATGCTGGAAAATCAAACATGTTGGTAACGTCGGATTATTCTCTTGAAACGATATTGAAACATCCAAACAAAAGTCGACGATGGTGAGCATTCTGACGTAATTTAATCCAACGGCTTGCACCTTGGACGACTTTCGGTTGTTTCTCTTTGCTGTGGCGATCGGGAATACTCGCTATTTCTTTGTTTTGGTGTAATATTATGAAACTTTTTTCTGATAAGCTTTTGAAGAGATTTTGAGGCGCTGCTATTTTTTTTTTCATAGAGCAGTAATTCTGTTCGAGTAATTTTTCTTTTTGTGACGGAAATTTCGCAAATGAGAAAAAAAAAAATGTTTAATCTTAGTTCGGAAAGCAGCAAGTTTATTATTTTAGAAGCATTTGCGGCCTACCTCATAGTCGCATTAATAGATTTTGATAGTATATATATGATGCGCCTCTGCTTGTAGGCCCCAACTGCTCCCAGGTGAGCCGCAAAGGCTTCCGGTTAGGCTCAGAGAAGCCTCCAGAGTAGGCCGGAAAGGCTCTGGGTGAGGCCGCAGCTGCTCGGCGATGAGCCGCCGCGAAAATCCCCGCCAAGTCAGGTGCAGCGCGCTGCAAGCGGTCGAGGAGCCTTCTAGAAGCGGGTTAAATTCTTTTGCCTACGCAGACGATATTCGTGTCCGAGGCACTTCAAAAATTTTGTAAGTTTTGAATTTTCACTGCGGGCAAAAAGGCCGGGTGAGATCCAGCCGACGCATGAAAGTGAGCCATAAAGCAACGCAATTATAGTCAATGTTTACCGACTTAAAGGCGGGGGTAAGACGCATCGCGGCGTGTGCGTGGCGGCTCTTGGCACGTGAGCTCTGCATTTTGTTGAGCAGGGGTAACCAGCAGGCACACGGGGTTCCAGCGGAAGCCCCCTGCATTAAAACCCGTAAAAAGCCCAGCTTATAGAACTTTTGGCAATTTTAGCCCAACTGAGACCCCTGCTTTAGCACTGTTGTTACACATTTTTTCTTACACCTGTTGTTCCCCTGTTTCTAGCCCAATCAGACTAAAATAACCTCAGAAAACACGTGGGTTTAACACGGGTACACCCGCGAGACACCTGATCAGCACAGTGAGTGCAATTCAAGCGCAGGCGAATGTTTGAGAGCTTCGTTTGTCGCTTTTTTTCATTTCTTTTTTTTTGAATTATTTATTGATTTTTTTTATGAGTGCATTAAAAAATAGTAGAACATGAAAAAAAAAGAGAGATGACCGAGCTGAGTAGTGAAGCTGCGCTTGCAATCTCGTTGAACTGTACTTCGTGCCGGGCGATTCCGCGTACGCACCAGCTGGTGCATCGAGACAGGTTTTTCATCCGGAGAGGAGATCGAGTCGAAATCGGAAAATTCGAGATGATATCCAAATGTTTTGAAATAAAACTTACAAACGACTCAAAAACTCAAAAATGTGCGAAATCTTCTTTTATTGAGTGGATATAGTCTGTCTTCAGATTTTGAATGTCGTCGTTGCTCGCTCCGCCCATAATGGCGGATAGACCAATCAGAGAGCGAGTCATCCATTGTGAGCGTTTTCGAATGACGTCATTCTAATTCTTACATTCAAAATGTGAACAGACCATATCAGGCAAAAGTCCGAAGGGCCCTTTGAGGACCCTCCGAGGGTCCTCAAAGGGTGCTGGAAGACTCCATAGAAATGTTCCTTTCAGGGTGACGAAGGCTCCCTTTTTGCTGCCTTTCTGCACCCTTTTCCTGCCTTTATACACCCGTTACGCACCATTTCCACGATTTTCTCTTCATAGCCTTTCTCCACCCTTTTTATAGCCCATGTTCACGTTATTCTAGTATTCTTTTAAGAGTGTAGACATGCTGATATCATTTTATTCGGTCAACGTTTGGAAATGAATTGATAGAAGCAGCAAACTTTAACAACAACAGGAATATAAAAGCAGAAGAAACAAAAGAAAACATATAACAAGTTAACACGCTGTCTCTGTAATTTTCAAAAGTTTTCAAAAAGAGTGGGTACAATAAAAAAAGATTTTTTGATTTTGATGAAACTTCACCCGCTGTGATAGTCTGTCATCAGAAATGCCGACGCAAGTTTTCAGACCGATTCCTCCTACCTTCAGATCCGGTGCTAAAGTTTGTTTCATTTGATAGTGCAAGGTTGTACTTCACAGATAATAGTGTTTCCTCCGACTTCTCCGTAGGACTGAGCTCAGGAAAAAAATCGTGGAAATCTGAGAATCGTTGTTTTTTTAGGCCAAAATCGGCTTCAAACTGAATTTTTTTGTTAGAAGGGTAGGCTGAAAGTCGGAGGAAACACTATCATCTGTGAAGTACAACCTTGCACTATCAAATGAAACAAACTTTAGCACCGGATCTGAAGAGAGAAGAGAGGTAGAAATCTCTAACCGCTGGCGATTTTTCCCTGACAGATGCCAAGTTGAGCCTCTTCGAAGCGATTTTTCCGAGATGACCGGTAGGTATTCCTAGAAAAGAACGCATAGTTTCCTAAATACGAAATGACGCACCTGCCTACCGTAACCTAGCTACGGTAGGAGGAATCGGTCTGAAAAACTTGCGTCGGCATTTCTGATGACAGACTATCACAGCGGGTGAAGTTTCCTCAAAATCAAAAAAATATTTTTTTCTATTGTACCCACTCTTTTTGAGAATTACAGAGACAGCGTGTTAAGATTTGAAAAAAATAGACACAAATGTCTATAGGCCAATCCGCGCCAGCTCGTCACGTTTTTTTCTTTCCGCCAAAAAGGCCAGGTCAAATTTTACCAACTTCGCTTCAAGACCATTGTTTCTTGCCGTTATAAAAGCAGAAATTTGATATATACGGTCTTTTTTTGGCGAAAAAGAAAAATGTGAAAAAGCTGTCGCGGAATGGCCTATATGACAGTTAAAACACCTTAAAGAACACATCAATAAATATTTCATCCAACCACATCAATATTTGAAGGTTCTTCATCAATAGTTGTTTTCGTTGACATCGCCAGCACCTTGTTCTTGTGCTTCTCTCAAATCAGCTTCTTCCGCACTGAAAAGAATATAGTTTTTATTGAAGAACGCTCAAGGAGGAATTTCGAAAAAGCAGGAATCGCATAAAAAAATAAATATAATTACCTTTTCTTGCCTGGAAAGTCCGACCGAACTAACCGAACCGTCCGAGTTTTTTTCAGCATGCCGTGAAATATAACGAAATTAAATTAACGGAACAAAGAAGATCAAGATTACATTTTTTTCAAATAATTTACTTACCAAAAAAACCGTCGCCCGAAGGCGATTCCCCGGCCAGCTAAAAACTTTTTTTCGCATCTTGGCATTAATCGTAATCGGGAATCTGATCCTTAATCGTGAGAGGAGATCTGAAGTTACATGATTCTTTGTAATTTCATAATTAGTTTTTTTAATTTAATTCAAACGTTTCAACATGATTTTTCGTATAACTTTCACAAAAAAATTTATGCCTCATATCCTTGTCTTTGAAACTAATTGAACACATTAAAACAACGAACGAGAAAATATAATTCACGAGCAGAAAAAAAGAAATCAAAAAAACTTGAAAGGATTTTTAAAAAGAGTTTTTTTAACATGACCCTTCGGCACCCTTTTTTTCCAGTCTCTCCCTTTTTTTCCAGCATTCTCCACCATTCCTTCACCCTTTTTTTCCACCCTTTTTTTACTGCCTCTGCCTTTTTTTCCAGCATTTTTCCAGCCTTTTTCCACCATTCCCTCACCCTTTTTTTCCACCCTTCCTTCACCCTTTTTTTCCACCCTTTTCACTGCCTCTGCCTTTTTTCACCCTTTCTCTAGCCTTTCGGACTTTGCCCGAGCTAGAACACTCCAACGTCATTTTTCCCACTTTTTGTCAAGTTTGTGAAGCTTCTTTGTTTCGAAGATCAGTTTTTAGTCTTTTTAATGGTTTTGGAAGCAGATAAAGCTTACTTTCTACTAAAAAGGAAAAATTATAGAAGTTAACAATTCTTTCAAATTTTGGTGGCGCTGGGCGTTTGAAAAAAAAAAGGGTTCCAAGATTCCATTTCCCAAAGATCTATCTATTTTCAAAAAATCAATACTGGAGAACGTTTTCTACTTTTTTTTGGTAAACTTTTCGAGCTTCGAAAGAAAAAATAAATAAAGATAGCGGACAATTTTTTCCAATTAGCGAAAGTTTATTAACCTAAAAAAAGTGCAAAATGACGCGGATTTCAAATTTTTTCGCAGAATTTTTCACAGACCGGCCAAATGTCTGCAACGCGGTCGCGAAGCGGTTGTAGTTCTTCCATTTTTCGATGTTTTTCGTCAACAAACTTTTGCAAAGACTGATCAAAATGTGTTATTCATCACTGTTAAGCGATGCAATTCGAGAAAAACGTTTTTGACCACGCACAGCTATTATTCACTCTTTTTATAATTTCCCACAGTTTTTTTAAATATTTTAAGAAAGCTATTGGAAACATTCCCGTCGCAGTGTTTATTCAAACATACTAGAACACTATCGTTTTTTTTTTTCAATTTTTTGAAGAATCTGAAGCTTTCCTGTGACAAAGATCTTTTTTTTTGTTCTGAATGATTCTAGAAATTGGCTCAATCCTATCTGAAAAGCTTTATTACAAACCACTGGTCGAAAAATCTTTGTTTTTTACTTATTTTTGCGAAGTTCGTTTTTTATTTTGAAGATCAGTTCATATCCTCTCAAGTTTCGTAGGGAATCAGAAGCTTAATGTTGTGTTAAAAGTGATTCCGCGAACTTCAAAATAGCCTTCAGAGAGTGAAAGATGTGACTGAATTTTGGAGAGTCAGAAATAATTTTGAATTTCGCGGAAGTTACTTTGAACACGGCCTTTTTTCGCTTTGAAAACTTTCCGAACGAGACTTTAATTTTTTTTGTTAATCATCCTTTAAAAAAAGGTTCTAAAATCTTCTTTTTGCTCAGAATATTTTACCTAGTTCAAGAGCAATTTCTTATTAAACCGCCACAAATTTTTACGTCAATTTGAAAATTCACTGTCTCATTAAAATTTTAACTCATCGCAAAACTTTTTCTCGTTTTGGTATTGCTTTAGTCATTAAAAATCGTTTAGGGACCATTTTTTGAAGCTTTGCAGATTTTCTTGACCACAAAATTATTTTTTCAGAATTCCTTATTATCAAATTGACTTTTTTTAAGTTTCTTTTTCAAGCTTTGGTCAGCATTTCTTGACTTTTCGACTTGTTCTTAAATTTTGATGACTTCAAATCACGACTTGGTCGCGCGGCTTGGAAGTGCTGACAATTCAAAAGTCAACAGTCAAATGATGACGGTTAAAAATAGGAGAGTTTCTGGCTTTTGCGCTACATTTTGGTTTGAACTTCCCAATTTAGGTAAAAAAATATGAGATTTCATTAATTTTTTTGTGCAAGAAAAATTGCAAAAAAATGTTGAAGGTTATTTTTCCTAGTTTTTTTCTTTTTTTATATGCACTGGAGAGAACAGGGAAAAAAATTTTGTTATATTGACTCCCAAAAAAATAAAAAAACTGAAGGAAACTCTAGTATTGGTGTTGTATAAACACTGCGACGGAAATGTTTCAAATAGCTTTCCTAAAACATTTAAAAATTGTGAGAAAGTGGAAAAAGAGTGAATCATAGCTTTGCGTGGGCCGGAATCGGCCCACACGATCTAAAACGTTTTTTTTTTCTCATATTGAATCGCATAATAGTGATGAATAACACATTCTGATCAGTCTTTGCAAAAGATTGTTGACAAAAAACATCGGAAAGGGCAAAAATTCAACCGCATCGCGACCGCGTTGCAGACATTTGGAGCACAGTTCTGCAAAAAGTTACAAATCTGAGTCGATTTGCCCTTTTTTTTGGCGGTCTCAATCTTTTGTTTATTGTTAAAATTGAATAGTCGTTCCACTTTTTGACCCTTTTGATCATCTCCAATCCTTGAAACGTTAATAAACTCTTATAACGTCTCGTAAAAAATTAAGCCGCCGTTTTTAAAAAGTATTTTTCGGCTTTTTCGATCAATTTGAACCTGTAAAACTAGTCGAAAAACTCAAAAACCTTCTCGTGATCCTCCATGATTATTTGTCCCACTTGATCATCTACAATCCTTGAAACGGGAATAAACTTGTACATCGCCGTTTTTCCGCAATTTTTCGGCCTTCTTGATCATCTCCAAGACTTAAAACAGTTATAAACTTGTAAATCGCCATTTTTTACACAATTTTTCGACCCTCTTGTTCATCTACAATCTTCGAAACGGGAATAAACTCGCAAATCGCCGTTTTCTCCAAGATTTTTCGACCTTTCTGATCATCTCCAAGCCTTGAAACGTGAATGAACTTGTAAATCGTCTCATTAACATCGAATCGTCGTGTCTGTTCTAATAAAAAGGGCATTAAAAGGGACTGGATTTTGAGGAGAGGAAGTCGAGGCGACGGGCGACGACACCAGTTTTTCGCCCCATTCGCTGCTCTACCAACAGAGACAGCGCGCGCGAATCAAAAACGCAGCGAATCGATCGAAAAGCGGTCTCCCTCTCTCGGTGTGCGCGTGTGTGTGTGTGAGCTGCGCCCCATCGACACCCAAACGGCCACCCAAATAAGGCCTTTCCCTTCCGAAATAAAATCCAACCCAAAAAATGGCCTGTCTTCGAAAACTCAAAGAGGATATTGTCATCCTCGAACGGCTCTTTCCCAAGCAGCACTCGCGGTTCCAGGTTTGTCCTTTTTTCTGATTTGCTGTTGATTTTGTGTGTTTTTTATTGATTTGTCGGAGTTTATTTCATCTTAAACAGTACATTTCGAGTTCCAAAATAAGATTTTGCATGTTTGAAACAAGTTCCAATCGATTTTTCGACGAAATTTTGATTTTTTACTCGAGTTTCCTGTGTTTAATAAAATAAATTAATATCGTGGAGTTTATTTCATGAAAAAAACAGTGCATTTCGAGCTTCTAAACAAGGTTTTTAGTGTTTGAAACAAGTTCCAATCGATTTTTCGACAAGATTTCGATCTTTTACTCGAATTTTCCGTTTTCATTAAAATAAATTGATATCGTTTCGAATTTTTTTGTGTTTCACGAGTTTCAATCGAAATTTGTCGGAGTAATTTTTGGTCTTTTACTCGATTTTTATTGTATTTCGAATCAATTTAGCTTTTTGTCTTTTTTTAATTAAGAAAAAAAGGATATCATGAAGTTTATTTCATGAAAAAAAACAGTACATTGCAATATTCCATATACAGATTTAGGCTCACAAAACGATTTTCAATCAATTTTTCAACGAATTTTTGATTTTACTCTCAATTTTTCCGCGTTTGATAGAAAAAATCGATATCTTGAAGGAAAAACAGTACATTTCGAGCTTGAAACTACCATTTTGAATAGTGGAATCGAGTTTCAATTTTTTTCGCCAAAATTTTGATCTTTTTGCTCGATTTTTTTCTGTATTTTTGAATCAATATTGATTTCGTCTGTTTTTTTCATTTTTTTAATAAATTGAGATTTTCAAATATGTTAAGTGAGAAAAAAATAAATTAAATTCTTCCAAATACACATTTTAGCTTTCCAAGACGATTTTTCAATCGTTTTTTTCGATGAAATTTTGATGTTTAACTCGAATTTACCCAATGTTAAGTTGCTAAACATGATTTTTAAACTGTAGCTTGTTAAAATTTGAAATTCAAAGTTCTATTTTTTTCTGTAATTCAAGCCAGATTCATGACTAATTGAGTTTCGCATCGATTTTTCAACAATTTTTTTATATATCTTTTGTGAAAATTTGTTATTTTTTTGGTGTAATATAGTTTCAAAACTTCGAAAATCGATTATTCAAAGTTGATTTAAATTCCTATTTTCAATTAGAGTTGAAAATTGATGGTTAATTCGATCAAAATTTCAGATATAAGCGCCGCTATTTTTTTATATTTTTTTCGATTTTAAAGTAACGCACTTTTTTAAGGGTTTGTAGAATTTTTGTGGCGTTTTTATCGAAGGAAAAGGTTTCAAAACCCGGAAAACTAGCTATAATTCGGAAATGTACTGTTTCGGAGCAACTAGGGGGCTGAAGAACATATTTTTTTCCTTTTTAAAGTTTTTTCAACGTTCCAATGAGAACTTTAGGGTTTTTTAAATCGATTTACTGGTAAAATTTTTAGTGGCCTCTGTAGAGGCTCGCCAAGGACTACAGAGGACACTAAAGTGGCCACTAAACTAACCCCTATAGTGACCACTATTCTCCGTTTTAGTGGCCACTATAGAAGTTCACTATTTAGTGGCCACTTTAGTACTTTTTCATCCAGTATTCCTTCCAGTAACTCTGATAATATTCAAAAACAAACGTGTTGAACCAGTTATGTTGATCCATTGACCCCTAAAGCGGCCACTAAGTGGTCTAGTAGTCGCACTTAGACCTCTGTAGTGGCCACTGATTTTCAACCTCTTGAGTGGCTACTAATTTTACTACTATAGTGACCACCAAAACGTCGAAACCTTATAGTGGCCACTCACAGTATAGAACTAAAAAGGCTCAGAAAAAGATCAAAAAAGGCTTGAAAACAACCCGTTTCGGTTACAGATCCTGAGTGCGACGGTCGACGAGATAACGATGCGATTCATCGATTCCAACAACCGGTCCGTCGTTATTAACGCCAATATTCAGGTAATCCAATTATATCACCTCCATTTCTTGTTCTTTTTTCCCGTTTTTTAAAACATTTTTTCAGTTTTTTTGGATTTTTAAATTTTTTCTTTAAAGTTGATAGCTATAACTGATCGTTTTTTATAGATTTTATGCTGTTTTCAAGGATTTTCAATAGAAAAATGATGTTTTTGCAGTTTTCTCAGAGATTTTCAGTAGTTTTGTAATGGGTCAAGGCGTAAGAAGGGCCCTTAAGTGGCCACTTTGCTCAGTTTTTCGAAAAATGTACCAAGGAACGTAGTAGTACTAGGAAATAACAGGAATTTTCAAAAAATTAGGAGAAAATATCGATTTTTTCGGAAGAAATCGAGCTTTTTCGAAAGTCTCAAGGATTAGGAAGGGGCTTTAAGTGGCCACTTTTCTTAACTTATACAAAAAACTATCCAAAGGACGTGGTAGTACTAGGAAATAACAGGAGTTATTAAACAAAAAAATAGAAAAATATCGATGAAAGAAATTGAGCTTTTTTTCGGAAGTTTTTCAGCAGTTTTTGTAGAATGGGAAGATCACTTAAATGAGTATATCTAGCGTATGAAGGGCCCTTAAGTGGCCACTTTCTAGATTTTACTTGAAGATGAATAAATCCGTGATTCGACGTACGTATTGGTGATCAAAAATCAAAAAAATTAGATTTTTCGAGAAAAAATGTCCCCGCCAGCAATATATCAACTTTTTCAGCTATTTTTGTGGAGTTTCGAGGCTTATGAAGGGTCCATAAGTGGCCACTTACTGAATTTCTACGAAAAGTATCCAAGAAACGCGGCTGTAGTAGCAGAAAATAACGGAAATTTTCAAAGAAAAACGAGAAAAAATCGATTTTTTCGGAAGGAAGAAATTTTTATTTTCCGGGATGTTGATCGCAATTTTCAGCATTTTTTTTTCTGTTTTAAGGCTTACGAAAGGCTCTTAAGTGCTCATTTCTTTCAATTTTTCTTTTAGATTGACAAAATAGTATTTTTAGGAATGTTGTAATGGTAGGAAATTACTAAAAAGTACAGAACTATTTCGTTTTTCAATGAAAAATCAGGTTTTTTGAAAATATCTTCTTTTTCGGGAAAACTGTCCCGGCTAGCAAAAAAATTAAAGTTTTTCAGTAATTTTGTAAGAACATCTCTACAGAATTTTTGCAATAGGCAGTGCACTTTGCACGATTTCAGTTGAGATCTAGCACGTGAAGAGCCCTTAAGTGGCCACTTACTAGATTTTTTTGAAGATGAATAAATCCGTGATTCGGATTTTTCGAGGAAAAATGTCCCCGCCAGCAATATTTCAACTTTTTCAGCTATTTTTGTGGAGTCTCGAGGCTTATGAAGGGCCCTTAAGTGGCCACTTACTGAATTTATACGAAAAGTATCTAAGAAACACGTCGATAGTAGCAGAAAATAAGGGAAAATTTCAAAGAAAAACAGGAAAAAATCGATTTTTTCGAAAAAGATCAAGTTTTCTCAGAAAAAAATATTCCCGCCAGTTATGATTGAAGTTTTTATTAGTATAGTGAATTTGCAGACAATTTGCAGACTGCAGACCAATTTGCAGACTGCAGACCAATTTGCAGAATTTGCAGAAAGATTGCCCTAAAATGGCCACTTACTCAATTTTGGTAGATTGTAGTAGTATCAAATAACTGCGATTTCCATACAAAAAACGAGAAATTATCGATTTTTAAATTTTTCCAGGAAAACTATCCCCGTCAGCCGCCGATCTGGTTCTCCGAATCGGACGACGTTCCGGCCATCGGATCGGCTCTTCAGCGACTTACGGAGACCAACGAATCGACTAATATTTTGCACCAGGTTTGGAAGAGAATCAATATTTGACCTTTTTTGTGCCTTTGCAATGAAAATTGGGATTTTTTCATGGTTATTCGAGTCCAAAGAGAGCTTAACTCAGTTACCGGAATCAGAATACGTTCAAAGGTAAAGAAAAACGGTTTTTAAATATTACGATTCGTTCCTGAAACGTGTGGAATGAAGATGTGAGGTTTTTTTTTCTAAACGCGCCCGACCAAAAACGGCTTCAGTAAAAAAAGGCATCGCAATCTTTTTTAGATGGTTCTAAGACTCGAGCCATTCCAAATGCGACCACGGTTTTCAATTTCATGAAAAGCGGTGTATAAATGATTCCGAAATTGGAAAAAAACCATCTATAAATTGAAGATTTAAAGTTCAAAATGCGTTTTTGCGAAATTGAAGTTTTTATGACAAGGAAGATCATTTTATTTTTTGAAAATCGGCTAGAATATTTAGTGATATACTTGGTTCAGGTCCTGAAAATCTTAATTCACTAAACATATTCGTTTTTCAAAAACTAAAGGCTCAGAGACCGCAAATGGTCGATTTTTAGTTCCTAAAACGTACGGAATATGGCTTGAAGCTTTGAGGTTTTTTTTTCGAAGCCCACCCGATTAAAAACGACTTTCGTAAAAAAGCATAGTAAACTATTGGAGAAGGCTCGAGCCATTTTAAATGCGACCAAGGTTTTCTATTTCATTGAGAACGTTGTATCAATGATACTAGTGGGGAAAAGCCGGAGTTCGAAAGGCAGTTTTTGAAAACTGGTTCGGAAAAATGAAGTTTTCTGAAAGAGGAAAATGAACCTTTCATTGTCAGACTGGGAAAATGCTTAGTTGCCCCTTCAAGGTTTTGACGTTTTAGTGGCCACTATAGTAGTCAAATTAGTGGTCGCTTAAGTGGTTAAAAATATTGGCCATTATGAAGGTCTAAGTGCTACTACTATACCACTAAAAATTTTAGTGGCCACTTTAGGGGTCAACGGATCAAAAAAACTGGTCCAATCTGTTTGTTTTAAAATTATCAGAGTTACTGGAAGGAATACTGGATGAAAAACTACTGAAGTGGCCACTAAAACGGAAAATAATGGCCACTATAGAGGTGGGTTTAGTGGCTACTTTAGTGTCATCTCTAAATAGTCCTTGGCGAGCCTTTATAGTGGCCACTAAAAGTTTTCCCAGGAGTATGAGTTTGAATGAATCTGGAGATTATAAGGTCTTTTCCAGGTCCATCGTCTGCTCTCGGAACTCTGCACCCACTATTCGCTCTCCTCGCCGGCCGAACTCTCTCTGATCGCGCCGCCGCCTCGCGACGACGAGAACGTCGACGAGGGACAAGGCAGCGACATGGGCGACGAGACGGAAGACGACGAGGTTCCTCCCCTCTTTCTCTGCGGCCTCTCAATATGTCATGATCTTTAGGTGATGGATGACGAGGAAGACGAAGCTGTTGGCGGCGGAGACGGCCTTTCGGAGGGCGATGAGGAGGAGGATATCGAGGTAGGATTTGTCTCTTTTTAACGCCGGTGTCTAAGTCATCTCATATATCTCAATATTGACGCGTTTTTTGTTTGAAAATGATTCTCGAAATAGGAACTCCGAGAGCCTTTAAAACAAAAATGGGACATATAGCAATATGTGAATTTTTACGGACTATAAATTTTTGAAATTACTTTGGCATTTGATTTTAGAAGATTTAGCTGCTTTTCAAGCCAAGTAGAGCGCGAAAGAACATTGTTACTAGTTTTATTTTGCAATATATGTTTCAAAACTAATTTTTTAGATCTCGATTACTTGATTTGACGTTTATTCAGACCTGTAACGTAGAAAAATTGAGCTGGGTTTAAGCGTTTCAAACGTTCGTTTCAAGACAAATAAATTCTCCGCCCCCCGCTGGATTTCAAGCAAAATAAACCTTCAGAGCACAAGGCTGCAAAATATTTGACGAGTTTTTTTCCGGAATATAAATTTATAGCTCGTTTAAATGACGGAAAAGTTTTTTATAGTAGTTTTTCGCAACACCAATAACAGAAAATTGAGCTGGTTTCATTTTTGATCCGTTTTTTCAAACCCCCAGCAGAGCTACAGAGGATTTTTACAAGTTTCCCTTCCGGAATGTCAATTTTCAGCTCGTCGAGATGGCTGACGAGGAACCTCGTGCCAGTCAGGACGAGGGGGTTTCTGCGGAAGGACTCGAAGTCCTCGACAAGGTCTGCCGCGTCAACCGCCAGCAGCACTTGAGCGGAAAGGTGATCAGCAAAATTGCAAATTTTTGGGGAAAATGACGCTTTTGAGCTTTTTTTCAAATAATTTCATATCCATAGTTTAATGTGAACCCTAAAGAGTTCACTTATGTTAAAAAAATTATAAGAAGAGAAATAAAGAAAAAAATAGTTTTTTTCAAAAATCTAACTTGGAATTAGCTCTTTTTTTCAGCTTTTTCAATCAGTCAATGTTAACCAAAAAAATCATAAAATCAAAAATTAAAGTTTTTGTGTGTGTAATCGACTCTAGGGACGATTTTTCGGGAAGAACAGCAGTTTTTTCAAAAGAAAAAGGCAAGTTCTATCAATTTTTCAAAAAATTTCAAGATCACACTAGACGGGCAGTTGCTAGCAATGCATTAAGTTAACATATAAAGTTTCATTTTTTGAAAATTCGTACAATTTGTTTGAGATTTTTTAGCTAGTTTGAGTGTTCAAGTAAATTTTTTTATAACAGGGCAAACTTAAATTCAGGAAAAATTGAGTAGATATTTAGTTTTGAAACAATTTCAGGATCAAAAAAACGCTTGTTTTTTTGATCAACGACAGTTTCGCGAACCGTGGTCTTAAATACTGGGTTTCCTTAGAATTGCCAAAAAAATGAAAGTTAGGTCCTTTAAAAAGTCCTTAATCAAATTAAGTTAACATTGAAAAATTTAAATTTTTTTAGAATTCGTACAACTTTTTTTCGAGATTTTTCAATTTTTATTTTTCGTTAGTTTGAGTTTTTCATGTAGCTTTGAATGAACTGGGAGATTGTAAATTCATAAAAAAATAGAGAAAAGATTAAGTTTTTAAAAGATTTTTGGGGCCAAAAAAACACTAGTTTTTTTGAAGCTGGGTTTCCTTAGAATCGCCACGGACTGAAATTGAGGTCCTTCAAAAAAGTCCTCAAAGTTAACATCTTCAATTTCAATTTTGCAGGTGCAAGGATCAGTCACGGCGACTGACCGTCTCATGAAGGAAATTCGGGACATTTATCGCAGTGAACACGTCAAAAATGGTCATTATTCCCCTTCAAATCCAATTTCTAACCTTGCGTTTCCAGGAATTTTCTCCTTTGAACTCGGAGAGGACGACAATCTGTACGAGTGGTGGGTCAAGCTGTACAAGGTGGGTTTTTGAAAGAAAGTTTTAAGGAAACTGAGTTGAAAAAGTAGGGATTTCAGTACAAAGATATCCTAAAAACTCGAAAAATCCCAGTTTTTGGCTTGAAATAGGATTCTAGAGGTCCTTTTTAAGGGAGTTTACTGTTTCAGAAAAAATTTTTTAATCCTTTTTCTTGATAATAATAGATCTGAGTGGGATTTAAAGGGTCCTTTTTTTAATAGAACTTACTGTTTCAGTAAAAATAGCTTTTAAAAATCCATTTCTTCCACTGACGAACTTTCCTTTGGATTCATTAAATCATTTTTTTATTGGAGTTTACTGTTTCAGTAAAAAAATTGAAAAATAAATCCCTTTTTCTTTTTTTGAGTAGAGGGTTTTTTTCATTTGGATTCTTAATGTCATTTTTTTATTGGAATTTACTGTTCCAGTGGAAATTTGAAAAATAAATCCCTTTTTTTCTTGTTACTAATAGATCTGAGTGGGTTTTAAGAGGACCTTTTTAAGAAAGTTTACTGTTTCAGCCCAAAAAAACTGAAAGTAAAACTTTTTTTAAGCAGAGTATTTTTTTATTTGGATTCATAATGTCCTTTCTAATAGAGTTTACTGTTTCAATTTTTTAAAAAAATTTGAAAATTAATCTTTTTTTGACGCCTTATATCTTTCACTTGAAATTGAAAGGCCACTTTTTAACAGAGTTTACTGTTTCAGTTGAAAAAATTCCATTTTGCTTGAAACTGTTAAAATATCCATTCTAATGGAGTTTACCGTTTCAGGTGGACCCGGATAGTCAGCTCTTCAACGACATGAAGACCCTGAAGGACGAACACAAGCAGGACCACATCCTCTTCCATTTCACCTTCAACGAGAATTTCCCCTGTGATCCGCCGTTTGTCCGCTTGGTCGCTCCGACGGTGAGTTTTGGGAGAAATTCCGGGTAAAAAGGTATTTTTGTCACGATTTTTAGGTGATTCTTGTTTGAAATTGAAGGGGAATAGAGAGAAAAGGGTAAAATGAGAGGAAAAAGTTTGGGATTTTTTTCAAACTTTAGAAATGAAAAAAATGATGATGGAAAGGATTTTTTTCGCTTTTTTTTAAAAAATTTGAATGAATTTACGAAGATAGTATTCTTCAGAAATTTGACCTTGAAATAAAGATTTAAAATCAACTTACTAAGTACAGGAATAGATAACTTTTGCAGTTTAAAACTCAGGTTCAAAAAAAAAATTCTTTCAAGAACTAATTTTCGATGAAAAATTGAGCAGAAATATATATTTTTTTGAACTTTTTCTCAATTTTTCGAATTTCAAGTCGTTCATAACTTGAAAAATTCCTTTCGATTCTGGATCAGAAAGTGAGAAAAAAACAAATCCCTAATTTTTTTGTTAACTACTGATTGAAAGTTTAATAAAAAGGGGTCTATAATTATGACGCGCAGTGTATAATTTGATGTGTTGCATCTTCTGATTTTAGAGTTTTAATTTCTTGATGTTTTTCACAACCGGAGAACATCGAGTAGAAAGATATTAATGAAGTTAGCGAAACGTAGGATTTCATGGATACTTTTTTTCATTCTTTATTGATCGGAAGAAATAACCGAAATGCCTTTCGAAAAAAAGAAAAAAAACACGTTTAAGGATTTAAAAAGACTCTAGAAAGATACAGTTCTCGTTGCTTTTGAATGATCTTTCAACTCTAGAGTTTTTAATTTTGTGAAAATGATTCTCAAAATGAAAAAAAATTGAAAAAACTAGCCGAAACAGCGCTTTTTGTCATAATTTACGTATTTTGCTTACTTTGCCTCCTTTTTAGGCCTTTTTAAAGTCGTTTGGACTTTGCCTATGTATTTGTTTTTCACAGGTGATTAAGGGGTTTTTGTTGATTTTGGGCCAGAAAGTTGATCGAGAGGATTTTCATAACTTCTATTTGAAAAAAATATAGATTTTTAGCTCTTTTTCGATGAAAAAAAAAATGAAAAAAGCAAGTATTTGTGTTCCACAGGTGGTGAACGGATTCGTGTTGGGCGGCGGGGCGATCTGCATGGAACTGCTGACGAAACAGGGCTGGACGTCGGCTTATTCCATCGAGAGCCTCATATTGCAAATTGCCGCCACGCTCGTTAAGGGAAAGGCCCGCATCCAGTTCGATGTCAAGGTTCCCTTTTTTCTTGAGACGAGTTTAAGCTTTTAAATCAAGGGAAAAAGGGTGTAGCAATTGAAGAGATGGTAGAGGTTCCGAAAAAAAGAAAAAAATGAAGTTTTTTTATACTTTTTTTCGAAGTTTCTTGTGCCTCACCTCAGGTGTTTTCAATTTTAGGCCATTTTGATGTCATTTTTCTTAAAAAGAGAAAGAAAAAAACGAATTTTTAAGCTTTGAAAACAAGGGAAAAATGGGTGTAGCGTTTTTGAAGAGGTGGGAGAGATTCTGAAATTGAGGGAGGAAAAAAATGAAGTTTTTTTATACTTTTTTTCGAATTTTTCTTGTGCCTTACTTTACGTGTTTCAATTTCAGGCCATTTTGATGTCATTCCCCCTCCCCTTATTTTTCTTAGAAACAGGGAGAAAAAAACGAGTTTGAGCTTCTGAAAACAACGGGAAAGGGGTGTAGCAATTGAAGAGATGGGAGAGGTTCTGGAATTGAGGGAGGAAAAAAATGAAGTTTTTTTATACTTTTTTTCGAAGTTTCTTGTGCCTAACTTCACGTGTTCCAATTTCAGGCCATTTTTATGTCTTTTTTTATATCTTTTTCCGAAAGTTTCTGTAGGCGTCTCATGGTTTCTTCTTTTTTTCCCTTGATTTAGAAGAAAATTTTTGAAGCTTCAAAAAAATTTATTTTAGCGGACAAAGCTTGTAGAGCGTTAGAACATTTCTGGGATGAAAAATGAAGATTTTACAATTTTTTTCAAAGTTCCTCGCCTAACTTCATCCGTTGATTGTGCCAATTTGATGGCAAGGTTCCCCTCATCTTGTCTTTTTTTGAGAAATATTGTGTTGGAGCTTTTAAAAAAAAGATTTCTAGCTTCAGAGATAGCTTTAAGAGTCAAAAGATACGTAGAAAGTTGGAAAAGGTTCAAAAATGGTAGGAAAAATTAAATTTTCATACTTTTTTCGGCATTTTTCGTGGAGTATTCTTGTCATAGCCAAGTTTCACCTTATTTTTTTCCAAATAACGCTTCAAAAAATTGAGAATTTTCGCACCTTTTGGCTCCATTTTCATAGCTTTTCCATCAAAAACTCATCAAGAAGCCAAAAATCTCGAAAAAAGTTATCTTATCTCGGATTTTTCAGCCCGGAGCGAGCTACTCGCTGGCCAAGGCCCAGCAGTCGTTCAAATCGCTCGTCCAGATCCACTCCAAGTCGGGCTGGTACACTCCTCCGAAAGCCGACGGCTAATCCCCCAAAAATCAATCACTTCTTCTGTACTTCTATGTTGATTTCTCCTTTCCAAGTGCTTTGTCTCTTCGGGTTTTGTGAATTTATTCCTCTCGACGCTGATTTTTCTCCTATTCTATCGCCAAAGCAAAAGAAGCTATCAAACTTTACGCGTTCGAAAATCTGTCCCTTTTTGTCAAAAAATGTGAAAAGTTGGAGTTTTCGGGAAAAGTTTTAGTGGTTGGAGGGGACACTAAAGTGGCCACTAAACCCACCTCTATAGGGGCCACTATTTTCCGTTTAGTTGCCACTTCAGAAGCTCTCTATTTAGTGGCCGCTTCAGTAGTTTTTCATCCAGTTACTCTGATAATTTTAAAACAAACAGATTGGACCAGTTATGTTGATATATTGACCCCTAAAGTGGCCACTAAACTTTTTTTAGTGGTCTAGAAGTAGCACTTAGACCCCTTAAGTGGCCACTAATTTGACTACCCTATTGGCCACTAAACCCACCTCTATAGTGGCCACTATTTTCCGTTTTAGTGGCCACTATAAAGGTTCTCCATTTAGTGGCCACTTCAGTAGTTTTTCATCCAGTAACTCTGATAATTTTAAAACGAACAGATTGGACCAGTTATGTTGATCCATTGACCCCTAAAGTGGCCACTAAACTTTTTAGTGGTCTAGTAGTATAGTCTGTTCAGATTTTTATTGTCAAGTGCAATGACGTCATTCAAAAACACTCTGTGTGTGGCTCGCTCTCTGATTGGTTTATTGCACCATTATGGGCGGAGCTTGAGCGACGACTTGACATTCAAAATCTAAACAGACTATAGCACTTAGACCTCTATAGTGGTGACTAATTTTCAACCCCTTAAGTGGCCACTAATTTGACAACTATAGTGGCCACTACAACATCAAAACCATATAGTGGCCACTAAAAATTTTCCCACTTTTAGACCTAACCCTCTAGGGACCACTCCAACTTTTCATCAACAAAAAAAAAATCCTTTTTTTGTTGTGTATTTCAATGTATTCTCCTCGACATTTACCTACTACCTTTTTTGTATTTTTTTTTTCTGGTTCCTCTATTTTTTCGCTATTGGAACAGCAATATTCACGTTTCTCCCTGCTTTTTCTCTTTTTGTAACCACCTTATTGTTAGGCCTATGAAATTCGTTCTTTTCTCCCAAGAAGCAATGCTGGTCCCCATCTTTCTGGCTATCCGAATGCTTTCAAACTGTTTTTGTGAAGGAAAAAGAAGATGTTTATCTGTGAATCTTATTAACAACAGCAGAAGTCGCTTTTTTCACTTTGAAAACCAATTTAAGAAAAAAAATTGACAAAAATTTCAGCTTTTCTTCAAGCTGGTCGTTACGAAGAGATGTGGAGACTTTTTGAAACGAAAATCGGTCCAATAAATGCTCCGAGGGACCATTTAAGAGAATACCTTTTAGATGACGTCATAGAATGTTGCAGCTTACATCTCAGCTTTTCTCCCAAACCGTATGATATCATAATCAATCGATAGAGCGTCTCGAGACGGATTCAATGATGTATCTCAATCCCTGATAACTTAGCACAACATCGACTTGTAAGCTGAGGCAAGTCTGAAGCTCCTGGATGAAGCTCAATCTCTGGAAGACTCATATCATTCAAAAGCTGACGATCAGTCAAATCGATTGATATAGTTAGATAAGCTCTATCTGCTCTGAGAGCCAAGATATGAGCCTCCAACGATCTGGTAAAAACTAAAATTGCGCGTGAGATGCAATGCATTGTACGAGGTTGCGCGTCGGGTCAGGTGCTCGCCTGAGGCTCTCATCGGTGTAGTTTCCTCGCGAAAAGGGAAAAGCTCAATAAAAAGTTTGTTTTTTCCGAGTTTTTTTTAGCTTAATCGATAGAGAAGCTCCTATATGGTACTGTTATCATGTCACTTTCAAGGAAAAAGCTCAAAAATTGGCTGAGAAAAGGTCTGAAAAAATTGCATTTTACGGACTTAAAACTCTCATAACTCCCTTCATTTTGAAGTTACAGAAGAATTGATTTTGTGAATCCATTCGTCTTGTTATCAGCTTTCCAATAATATAAGACGTTAAGGGTTTCCGACAGCGCATATGACGTCATACAATTTTCCAGCCTACATCTCAGCTTTTTCCTCAAACCGGCTGATATCATAATCAATCGAAAGAGCGTCTCGAGACGGATTCAACGATATACCTCAATCGCTGATAACTATCCCAACATTTACTTGTGAGCTGAGACAAGACTGAAGCTTCTGGATGAAGCTCAGTCCGTAGAAGACCTATATAGTTAGAAGGGTGCGCAAAATCTTTTTTTTTTATTAAAGATTTATTCTACAGATAATAGTAAGCGTGGTTACTTTAAATATTCACTCACCAGGCGAAGACAATTAACCAAGAAGAAAGAAAATAAGAAGAAAATAATCATTCTCACCATATAAGCGTGAAAAAGATATCAAGATGAACTATTGAGATAAGTCAGTAAATATCAACGCCACGAGCAAAGTCCAAAAGTAGGTTATTCTAAAACCTCGAGTGTCTCGAGTGAAGAGTGCAAGGAGCAAGAGCAGCAGGCAATGGAGGACTCCAAGCGCGCGATGAAGACGATGGATAAAAGCATTGAAGGTATAATAAAGTACTGTAGGCGCTCGCTCAAATGATCTCGAGTGCCAAGGATGAAATAAAATATAGTCACGACTTGAAATTTCACCGAACGACATTCCGCTGTTCCACTGCGTCGCGAAGCGTCTTTGCGAGCCTCGGTCTCGCTTTGAATTGGTTCTCATTTCTGATAGATGGACTGTTCCAATAGGAACACGTGTTGGTCGAGTTCTTAAATAGAATGAAAAATTAAAGGTACGCACCGGAACAGCGGAATGCGTTCGGTGAAATTTCAAGTCGTGGTACACAGACTATATATGCAATTATTTCAATTTGGCGTATTTCTTGTGTCCTGGATGATGTCATAAAGTGACGTCAGGGAGTGAAGGTTTCCGATTTAAAGAAATCGTGAATATTGACAGTCTCCTCTATCGAATAATACAAGAAACATTGGATAGCTCTCAAAAATCAGCTTGCGGTCCCTGGCCATGTTGCTATAATTTAAACGGACCCTGTATATCCGAAAATGTAGGAGCTCGAGGGGTCACTTTAGCGATTCAAGTTGAAGCGCGATCCTGCTTGAATATGACTCAAAAAAGCAACTGAGGGATCTCTTAAGCGACTGCATGCCGCTTTTTGTCGACAAAAAACGGATTGCTCGAATTATAGGGTCTGTGAAAGAAGAAGTCAAGGGCGGAAGTTCAATGGTCTCGGGCATTCAGCAAGCCAGTTCGTTTTAAATTTCTTTGAAACTCGTCAGAGTTCTTAGATTCTTAGAAAGTTCTTTTTGTTAGAGGTTATTCGAAAATAGGAAAAAGCTTTTCAAAAAAAAAAAAGATAGCTCGGTCCTAGATGAGGTGAAGCCTTTATTTGCTCCATGAACTTCACAAAAAGCCGTTTTCAGTCTATTTCTGATCAGCAGAGTGGAAAAGTTATATTCGAGTCTCAAACTTTTTCGTCCTTCAACTCTGCAGTTCATCATATTTCGTTTAAGAAAAAGCCTTCTTCTCGCTTTTTGAAGGAGTTTTTCGACTGAAAGGCGGATCAGAAGCCCTCCCACCTGTTCCATGTGATCCCACAAGCCCCAACTTACCCAGCAGCAGCATCCAGAAGCCGAAGGAAGACGGTAGATTATGTTTATTCAATTGAAACTCTCTAGTAAGGCAAGTTGAGCTAGTGGTACTGAAGAAAAGGAAAGAGATGAGAGAAACGCACTGAAAAAGAGGTGCAATAAATGTGAAAAATTGGATCAATCCCATTTCAAATTTGATAAATATTTAGAATCAATATCGGAAAGTCTCACCAGTCGTATCGAGTATGACGTCCAAAGAGCATTTCAGAAATAGAAGACTTTTTTTTTTTGATAGAACTATGAAGTCACTACGATTATTCCTGTTCACAAAAAAGGAAATCTTTCAGACCCGTCCAATTTTCGTCCTATCTCCCTTACTCATCCAATTTCCCGTGTTTTTGAACGGATTGTTACTAATATGGTTAGAATTCGCTTTTCTCATAGATTTTCTCAATTTCAATTTGGTTTTTTAAATCGAAGATCTTGTAAGCTCTCTCTTATTAGCTCAATTTCCGATATTCAGAAATCCTTGGCATCTAAAATTTCTGTTGATGCTGTCTACTTCGATTTCTGTAAAGCGTTTGACAAAGTCAACCATGACCTCTTACGCCTCAAAATGCACAACTTTGGCTTTGATCAAACTCTCAGTCGTTGGTTTTCCAACTTCCTTTCTAATAGAACTTCGACTGTTAAAGTAAACCAATCCTTTGCTGATTCTAGTTTCCCTAACCCCTCCGGTGTCCTCCAAGGAACAGTAAGTGGTCCACTTCTTTTTTTGATTTTTTTATTAACGATATTGAAAAATTATATTGATGCCTCCACCTCCATTTCTATTTTTTTGCAGACGATATAAAAATTTTTTTAGTAACTGCCCCAGATCTCTCCAAAGCAGCATTAATGGTATCCTAGAATGGTCTCGCATTTGGTCTCTCCCCCTTGCTTCCGAAAAAAACTTTCTCAGTTCATTTTTGGTCCTGACAACCCTCGAACCCGATACTTCGTCGACCGTCTTGAAATCCCTCAAAGTTCCATTGTTCGTGATCTTGGTCTTTTTTATTGATGATAAACTCTCCTTTAAACAACACATAAATCGAATTTCTGCCTTTGCCACCTTACGCTCTAACCAAATACTTAATACCTTCAAATTTTTCTTCTCCTCTTAACTACTTTCGTATGTTTCAAACTTACGTGGTTCCAGTCCTTGAATATTGCTCCGAGCTTTTTCTCCCGCTATTTCATCTGATGAATCCTACAAACTCGAATCATCTCTCCGTCTCTTCAGTCGGAAAGTTTTCATCCGCTGTAATGTCAGCTTCTCTTCTTATTCCGATCGCCTCAATCAGTTTAATATCAAACCTTTGTTCATTCGCCGTAAAATTTGTGATATAATCACTCTACATAAAATTGTCTGTGGCTCTGATCATTGTCTCGATCGCAATAAGTATTTCACTCAATCCCTGTTACAGAGAAATCCACTTCGACTACGGACAGCTGGTCAGTTTTCTAATGACTACTTTTCTAGGACTATTCCTCTTTGGAACAAATTAACTTCTTATTTAGATTTTAACGTCACCCCAGAAACCCTTCGGAACAAATTGAATAATCTTCCTAATCAAGCTTTTTATGAAAATATCCCTTCTCGCCTTGTGTAAAAAATTTCTTCTTACTTCCGGGTACCTGTCAACTCGTTGGGGTTGACTCCTTCCCGCGTATTGTTATTCTCCTGCCCGTCATATGTTGATCACTTATAATTTTTCTATACTACCTAATGTTTTTTTTTATGGCAGTGAATAAACTATTATTATTAAAAGTCATAGAAAGCATTTAATTTCGAAACGATGAAGTGAACTATGACGATTTATAAAGCGTCCAAGCATTCTTTTTCTCCAATAGTAGAATACAAGGTCTTTGTAATAAAAGAGCACAGCATTCCGAAGCGGGGTTCGCGCCAAAAGAGGCGCAATCTATTTTCAATGGAGCGCGTAACTTGGAGCGTTGTAAATTAAATCGAAATCAGAACTTTTGTCTCCCGAATCGTTCAATTACATGGTTTCCTACTAATTAAACAAAAAAGAATGATGAAATAAGATAACTGAAAAAACCTTAGCGTTTTTAAATAAAAAAGGCAGGGACACACTTTTAAAAAGAGCTTTTCAAATACATACTAGCAAAATTATGTGAAAAAATTGTGAATACACATAAGAAACATAAAAAAAATCAACATGACTGGAAAAACTCAGAAAATTACAATCAAAACTTAAATATATGAAGAAAACTATATTAAACAGAATGAGTCGATAAGTAAATCCCGCCCACTCCATGCAGCGTCCGCACGCTTTCTGCAGCAGCACGCATCAACCCCGCTTCAAAACGCTGTGAGAGTACGAAGTAATCATTTGATCGAAAAGTCGAGATCCTCTAGCAATCCAAGGTGGCAGCAAGGGGTCAGCCAACTTTCAGAGCTTGAACTTTCCAATTCCCAACGTTCGGATCAAGCTGCTTTTTAGTCAAGTCCCTCGAGTTTTGTAGCGCCGGCTGGGTACGAGATAGAAGGCTCTGAAGCCGCGCACAGCGGAGCCTTCCAGAAAACGGAGGACAAGATCCTGTCAGAGATAACCGCAGCCGAACTAACCGGAAAAGGTGGACCAAGGGAGGGACTACTCTCGTCGGTGGAACAAAGGAAAATTATAATAGCGAAAAGAGATCGTGAGCCTCACTTTTACTTTTCTTTCATTTTTTCATCACCGATGAACCTGATTCAAATTGTGAGTTCCAACATACAGACGAGTATAGTCCGTTTTTCGCGACTTGAAAGGGCGGGACTTCTCTGCGCCCTCCTCGTCTCTCGACGTCTCTCTCATGTTGACGTGCTATTTTCATGTTTCTCTGACTTCGTTGTGAGGGAACAGAGAGACACGAGAAAACTGTCAGGTCGCGGCGAACGAACTATACTTCTCGCCTATTCATTATCTTCCTCATTAGTAGATTCATTTCAAAAATAAATCAAAAACTTTTCTAAGGTCCATAAGACCTCTTATGAAAAAAAAAAAGAGAAGAAACGAAAATGGAAAAAAGTGAACAACGCTCCCAAAAATTAGTCGGAATTTTTGGAAAGATTTTTATGTTCCTTATTAAATTCTGAATTGAGGGGTTCTTCGAAGAAAGTATAATTACTATTAAAAATCACCTTAATTCAGTGTGTTTGATCAATATGAAGGGTGAGAAAATACATATGAGGAGGACATTACTATGAAAAAGGTTTTAGGATTTCTGAAATTTCTTAGAGGAGAAAGGGTTTAAAGATGATAATATTTTTATGTCGCGCAGCCGTTTCGGGTCCCAAAAATGGACGGCTTAGAGGGTGACCCATCGTCAGCATTTTACCCTCTTGCTTTAAATCAAAAAAATGTTATAAAAAGATTTTTTTAGCTATTATACCTAGGCGCAGTTTTTAAATTAATAAAGTTTGGAAAATTGAAAAGGGAAAACTGATAAATGAAGGGGGAAGAAAAAGGAAAAGAGAAAAAAAGGGGAAATGTAGTCATTCATATCCGATATCGATTGTTGTCGGCAGAGGTCAAAAGTTACGAAGAGGTAGATTAAATTTATGTTCTTGTGGAAGTCTATATTGAAAGTATAAAGGTAGAAAATTGAGGTTGAAATTTGGAATGTAGAGTGAAGAAGGGATAGTTATAATGAAATGTGTATTTTTTTGCAAAAACTAAATCCGATTTTTTTCTTTGAATTTAGTCCTATTTAAAGTTTTTTTGTTTTTCAAAATTCTAATTAAGGTGTTTAAATTGTATTGATTCAATATGAAAGTTTTTTTATGCAATCGATAGTCCTATCTATAAAGTCTTCTATTCTACCGCAGCATTTAGAGAATCTAACAATTTCATTAGTGAATGTGTTGAAACCAATATTTCGAGCTACATAACTGTCGTGATGAGGGTATCTGATTATTTGAAAATTATAGTCATCCGTTTTTGTTATATAATTTGCTTAAGATTTTTTTGTTCATCGATTGAAATATCTAAGTCCAAAAAAATTGGGTTTTATATGTTTCCGTATTGGTTTGGTTAAGTTCCAATGAGTTATGGTATAGTGTGTTGGTGATTAGGGATAAGTTTAATTTATTTTTATCGTAAATTATGAATATGTCATCCATGTATCTGGCGGCGTGGAAAAAGCGTCTGTCGAAAAGGATTTTATTGTTAATTATAAAATTGTATTCCATGGCCGTTAAGGTAAGATCTGCTATAAATGGAGAGGCGTTGTTGCCTTGCGGTATTCCGTTTACTTGTCTGAAGGTGAATCCGGCGAAAGAGACGAAACTATTGCTCAGTACGAAGTGAACCATGTTTGAAATCTGGGATTTAGTGAAAGTTAAACTATTGGGATAAATTTTATTATTGGGATAAGAGTAAAAGGTTTTTCCTGTTTTTGGTCAAAGTCACTCCAGTAACATCAATTCCTGCGTTCCTAAAACAAATATCTAAGATGTTATTGATGGAATTAAGTATTTCAGAGTGGGGTAGGTTAGTAAAGAGTGAGCTGAAATCGCCGGAGTATAAACAAGTGTTATTTCTGATTTTTGAATTTATCAAAATGATGAATTAGTTTAAGACTATTATCTATTGACCAGTTGATACAGATATTATTTCTATTTTCAATGACGTTATTAATGTTACGAAAGTGGTTTTTTTGAGATGAGAAAGTAAATGTTTCAGGACGACTGAAATAGGTTTGATGGAGCTGTTGTATGCTCCACAGATGAATCTAATCTTGGTTGGGTTTTTTTGTGTAATTTAGGAATTCCGTAAATTTTTAGGAAGAACATATTTTTTTCATTTTGATTCATAATTCTAAAATTGCCTAAAAGATCATTGATTTCTTTTTTTGTGGCGTTCGAGTATAACAGTCGAGTTTTTGTCCGAAATTTTTCATATGTTTTTGTTGCTATTGTCGAGCTCAAGAGATTTATTGGCATAGTTAATTGTAACACCCATCTCTTTACATAGAAGTTGGCAATATAGTTTTTTTGCAAGTGAAGCTGTAGTTAGCTGAAGCTTTATCAGTATTAGTGATAATAAAATGTTCTTGGAGTTTTTTTGATTGAAGTGTAAGGAAGTTTGCAATCAGAATTATTTCTGGTTTTTTTCTAATGATTATGTTTCTTTGATTGTCAAATAGAAAGGTAAGATCGGAGTTGATTTTTTTGTGGTGATTAAAGGATAAAGTTTAAATTTGTTGTCTAACTTTTTAATGATAGATCTAATGTTAGAAAGACATTCGGCGTTGTATACATTGATATCAGTATGTGCGTAGGAGCGAAATTTGGTACCAGCGGAAATGATTCTATTAAGTTTAGGGCATTGAATTAAATCTTTATCACCAGATATGACGTGTCCGGAATGTTGAGAATCGCGATGAAATGGAAATTGATGGCATGAGCAATCAGATGAGAGTATATCAATAAGTTTGTGAGAGTCCAAGTTGTTCAGGAAGTAATTGTAGTTAAAGATTCTCGAGCTAACTGGATTGTGATACTTATATCTCATATTGATTTTTGATGATGTTATCCCCGAGCATATTGTATTGTTTCAAGTTATCGTTTAAGAGTTTTTTTAAAAAAATGACTAAGGTTGGATTTTTTTCCAGTGCATCAGAATAAGTAAAGTTTAAATTGATTTCAAAGTTGTTTGGCGTATTTTTGGAGTTTTTCTTGTAAACTTTTGTTGAAATCTAATGGAGCAGGCATTTATAAAATATTTGGTTTCTTCTGTGCAAGCGTTTTTTTAAAGTTAGTGTCACTTTTAATTGTTTCTATAAGAGATCTGAATCTTCTATGTTTAGTAATTTCAAAAAAATACAAGTGTGAAGATCTTTAGTGTTACAACTATTGGTTATGTTTATTATGTCTGAATGGTTGATTAATTTAGAGATATTTTTTTATCTTTTTGATGAGGACTTGTGTCTTTTTATGGTTAGGTTTTTTTAAAATTTTTGATTTGGAAGTAAGGAGATTTGTTTTTGTTTACTAGAATTAGAATTAGACATTATATCAGTTATATTAGAAATGTTGCCAAATTTGCTTATTTGATCATTAAACCCGAAAAGGAAAGGCCGTATGTAAAGTTTGAATCCAGTGAGTTTCTTTATCTAGGCGTATTCTATTATTTTCATTGTTGATGTTATCTAATATATATACTTTTTATGCGGGGGTTAAGTCTGTCATGGGATATGTTGTCGAAATGTGAACAGAAAAAAAGGTGTGAAGTTTGTTGTTTCTTATGCTATAAAGATGTTGGTATATCCTTGATTTAAGCTTTTTGTTTGGTTTTCTCCAACATATTGCTTATTACAATCTAGGCATTCGAGACAGTAAATCAAGTTTTTTTGGAATTGCAATTAACATTTGCTGATTTAACAGTGTTGATGCGATATCCTGTGCTTGTGCTATAAATAAAGTGAGAGAAATATATTAAATCGCAGTATGAGCAAGATTTTTGAACTACATCTAATTCCTTTTTTTCGTAAGTGAATTCTTGAAGTAATTTTCTATTGTTGTTACTTATATTTTTTTGTTTTTTTATATCTTTTTTTGGTGAAGTAGCTTAAAGCTTTACGAGTATCAGAGAAGTCAAAGAGGTAGGGATTATCTTTTGGTTGGTTGGTTGGGCTGTTTGTTCTGTTTCTGTGAGTGTGCTGCCTTTAAATCAAAAATAGCCTGGGGGGGCATTTCCAGACTACAGTGCCGAAGTATTTTTCGCCGTGAACCATAATGGCGCCCGGCTTTTTCGGGGGAATAGGACTGTCTTCCACCATCATTTATAGAGTTCGCTCGGTGGCGAATAACTGTACTCCGGCTGTCCACAGTTATCCTTGTATAAACCACATCGAGGAGAGTGCTCTTTTTATTGAAAAAGATATGTATTAATTGAGAAATAGATTAAACAACCCGTTTTTGTTTGGAGAGGTTTGGACCCGAAGTCCACAGAATTTGGAGAGGTTTGGATCCGAAATCCACAGAATTTTGGAGAGGTTTGGACCCGAAGTCCACAGAATTTGGAGAGGTTTGGACCCGAAATCCACAGAATTTGGAGAGGTTTGGACCCGAAATCCACAGAATTTGGAGAGGTTTGGACCCGAAATCCACAGAATTTGGAAAGGTTTGGACCCGAAGTCCACAGAGTTTGGCGAGGTTTGGACCCGAAGTCCATAGAATTTGGAAAGAATGTATGGAAGGGTTATGTATATGAAAAAAATGTAAAATTACGATGTTTGAATTGGTATATATTTGATATGTATGAATGGAAGAAGGTTACTGTATTAATTGTGGTGTATGCAGATATTGTGTGAGTGGTGAGTTTTAGAAATATTATTATAAATGGTTTTTTTGGGATTATTTGTTGTTTGAGAGGAATTTTTCTAATTATTTAAGCTAATACATTTTTTTATATTCATTTGTATTTGTATTAAATAATAGTATTATAGAGAAATGGAGCTGGAGGATCAGCTTGTGGTGCTCGAAGGCACGCCAAATGTGTCGCAGGTAAACTCTCGAGATAAGGATATCGGCGAAGAGTTGGGAGAAATTCGTATGCAATTGTCTTCTCTGGAGAGGGATGAGATGGCTAATACGGTAAGCGAGATCTTATTTAGAATTAAATGATTGAAAAGGAATTATTTCGTGAATAGTTAAGATAAAAGTAAAAATTTTATTTGCTAGAGTTATATATTTTACTTTTTTTATTTTACAACTTGTTATTAAAAAAATTTACGTGTTCCTAAAGGGGAGCCGACTTCAGTCTGTGTTTTTGAATTTATGCATGACCTAAAGTAAGTTATTAGAAAATTATAGAGAATTTGATTTTATTATGGTTCAGAGTTTCGATAGATAGAGGAAGTTTGTTACGTGTTGTGTTGGGGAAGCCTAATAAGGCTTTCCCAATACCAATTATAACAATGAAGCTGTCGCAAATGGCATATGAGGATGTTATCCAAAAAACCAGAGGTGATGGAAACAATCTGTCTAGACTGAATGAGAAAAGATTTGGAGTTAGTGTAAGTTAAGTTTGCTAATGAAGTTAATTAAATTTTGAATAATCTTAGGATAAACGAAAATGGATACGGATTGAGATTGCGAAGTCATTCGTGGAAAGAATGCATGAAAGCATATTCATGGGAGTTTACATGTAATAGGATTCTAATGAGAAATATGAGAAAATTTTTTAAATTTATAGGGATGTACAACGTAAGTTTGGGATTGCGGATGATTTGACTGTGAGGCGTCATCAGTTAAATAAAGGGATCGATTTCGTATTCGTTACCAAGGAAGGTAGACGAATAACGGTGAGTATGAATTGTCACGAGTTAATTAAATTTTAGAGTAATATGAAGACTGTACCATATGCTGATTTACCTAAATTTTTCCCAGGTGAATATCAAAACTCGGTAGAGGTAAGTAGAAATTAATTAAATCAATAAAATTACATAAACTATTAAGTAAGAGTTATTTAGAAGCAAGCTAGCAATGCTCGGAGAATTCGTACAATGAATCGAATTTTTATGCAATGGGGATTTACGGTTGAATTCAACGGTCAAAAAGCTCGGATTTGCGGGAAAGGCCGACGAGGAAATTGCCAAGTTTGGAAAAACCACCGGTGGGAGGTATATAGTTAAAGAAGTTAATTATTAATTATATATATAAATTAATTATAGGAAAGGAAATTTTGAAACGTTGGATTGAAAAGTTTTCGACTCCGGAAAGTGTTGTGAAGGAAAGAAACATAGGGGATAAGGAGAGAGAAGGCAGTGGAGGTGTGTTAAATGAATTATGATATTAAAATAAATATTAATTCCTTTAGGAAAGAAGCGGCGTCGTTGGTCAGATGGAAATCAAAGTTTGGCGGTCAAAAACGGAAAGAGGAGGTCCGATGAACGTCGTGGTAATTCGCGGGATGAACGTCGTGACGAAGTTTCCGTAAGAGGCCATCGAAGCTCCTTTGGAAGAGGTGTGAGAAATTAAAAGTATAATGTTTGTTTTGATTTTTGTTATATTCTATAGGTGTGAATGTTAAATGTTCATTATACAGTTGTCGTTGGATGAGTAAAGTTAAGTTTTATTATCAAAAGTCTTTTGAAAAAAGCGATGAATCTTCCTTCGATTTATTTTGACAGTTAGGTTCTCTTCCAATCTTTAAGTTTAGCGGATGGCTTTCTAAAAGAACTTACAAGTAAGGCAATATTTTCAAACTGAGCAAACCGTTCAGCTCATTATATAGTCTGTGCGCCACGACTTGAAATTTCACGGAACGACATTCCGCTGTTCCGCTGCGTGCGTTCGCGAAGCGCCTTTCCAATCTAGGTCACACTTTTAATTGATTGTTATTGCTGGGGGAGCACATGAAAGTAGAGTACCTTAATAAAAAAGAAAAAAAAAATTAAAAGCGCGACCAAAATTCGCAAAGGCGCCCAGCGGCACAGCGGAATGTCGTTTGATGAAATTCCAAGTCGTGGCAAACAGGCTATATTACATGAAAAAAATATTTTTTTCTATAGTTCTACATAAGAACATTCTACTGCCAAAGATACCAAACTTTCGAAAAATAGATGAACTATAAACACAAAATGACTTACTCGATTTGTCAATTGTTTTTTTTTCTGCTACAGTAGGCGATCTGCATCGTTTTCTTGGGCCTGAGAGGGAAGTGAAAGTAGCCAATAAAGATGACGACAGCTTTTTGGAAAATCTTCATTTCTACCACGGGTAAGTTTTTAATTGAATACGAGATCAAAATCGAATCGGAAATGTTCAGCTTCCTACCGCAGATGGAATGTCGAATGTTTATAAAAAAGTCGGGAGACTTTTTGGTGCGGAAATGGGAAGGTGAATCAAAATGGAAGTTGAGACTACTTGATAAGGTTGTTCAGAGGAAGGACAAGAGTGTTTAATTATTTCTGTCGGCGTCTTGTTAGACTATACGAGAGATGGTACCGAGGGTGATTTTTTTTTTTCGAACCTGGTAAAAAAAATTTGCAAGCTATTCCAAGTCGAAATCACAGCGGTTAACACATGTTTCCCGAGAAAGGCGATAAACCGTTGGCACTAAAAATTTCTGTTGCTTTTTCCAAAATCATACTTTTATCACAACAACTACATAGGGTTCTGAAACTTTTAATTGAGGTTTTGATAGACTCCGCCCCTAAAAAAATCTCACTTCTTTCTCCTTCGTCCAAACTGAATGATCCTTTTGTAAACGAAAGCCAGTGACAAGATGAACATGTTTCGTTTAATAACTTTCTTTCAATATTTTTTTCAAAAAAATTGATTTTCAATGAAAATCGTGCAATTTTTTTCAGTTTCTGATTTTTTTATGGGAAGAACCCGCGATCAGTCAAACTTTATTTTTTTAACGAAGCTTCAGGAGTTTTTTTACCTAAGAAAAAAAATAGTCAATATGTTTCACTTTCAAGTGATCCAGTTGACCTCGAAATCGTTGAACGCGTCAAACTCAAAGTTTAAAAAAATGTTTTTTTTTTTTTTTAAATATAATAGAACTTTTTCAATGAGATTTTTCAGTTCTTTTTCTAGCATCTTTTATGTTTGCCAGTTTTCATCAAAGTTTTCATCGCACAATCCCCTTCTAGTACGAATTCCAGACCTTGTCGAGAATTTCGGCAAAAATGAACCGGTAAGGGTCAAGGATTTCCTTGTGAGACGCGACGAGGAGGGTATCTTCATTGACAGCAAGATGAATTTCAAATCGCTGGAAGACTTGTTAACATATTATGTACTTCACCCAAACAAGGTAAGAGCTATTGATAAAGAGGATGAGCATGACTTCGGAGGAAGCTTAAAAAAATCATTAAAAGGGCGGTTCTCCTGACTAGGGAACTACTCGGGCTCGGGTGCGTATGAAGTTGAAACTGCGGTGGCTTAAAGACTTAGGTAAGAGAAACAAAAGAGGTTATCTGCTAAACCACATAAACTCCTGAAAAGAAAGCTTCTTGAAGAAACCCGAGAAGAGTCTTGTAAGCGCCTGAACCTTCTCTCACCGAGGTGAGCTGGCGCAGTGACTTGAGGGTCAGTCTCGTGATTGACTTTTTTGAGTAGGTTCGATTCCTGTTGAGGGCGAATCTTTTTTGGATATTTTTAAAGACGAAGATCTTTGTAAAAGTACGAAACTCGGAAAGATTCGAGAGTTCTATCAAAATAGTTTCTTATTCCCGGAGGGATCCAGGAAAAATGTTTTCTAGATCGAAACAACGCTGGCAGACATCGTAGTTGTACTGAAAATTCCTTTTTTTCTTGACTTGTTTAATTTTTTTGAGAAGCATTTGAATTAAAGAAATGTTTTCTAATCAATTTCAAGACATTTAGGACGTTTTTTGCCTTTTAGAGAGAAGCAAAAAAGATTCGCTCTCGACAGGGATCGAACCTACTCAAAAAAGTTAATCATGAGACTGACGCTTAAGCCACTGCGCCAGCCCACCTCGTTGAGAGAGGAAGGTTAAGGCGCGTACAGAACTCTTCTTCGATATTTTTCAAGAAGTTTTTTTCTCAAAAGCCGTGGATTAGATAATCTCTCTTGTTTCTCTTACCCAAGTCTATAAGCTACCATAGCTCTAGCTTGATACGCAAACCCGATCCCGAGTAGTTCCTAGCTTGTGTTGAAAATGAGATATTAATTATGCCGTTGAACAAATTCTAGAACACTGAGGAATGTATAATTTCAGGCGTCTTTGAGGATGCAGCTGGAACGCGCTTGTCCGAAGCGATACTTTGAGTTCAGTTCCAACATGATAACAAGAAAAGCCACTGTAAGTTGTGAAAAGCGTAAAAGTTGAAAATCATGAGGAACGAAAATTAGTGATCCATGAACAGTTTCAGCAACACTGTCTCTGAGTGATTCTCAATCTTAAAAACGTTGAATTCTTTCAAGAACTTCTTAATGTTCACCGGTATACCGAAGTTGCTCCGAAAGAGTACTATTTTTCATTTTGGAGCAAATTTCGCTCTGTGCGATGTTTACAGTAGCCGTGCACGCAATGTTGCGGACGTCTCATTAGACTCGCATTTTGTGAAGAATAACCGGCTATCTGCTTCAAATTAAGAGCTCCTTTTCTGAAAAAACATTCAGTCAAACAAAAAGCACTGATAATGAAGGAAACACAAAATATCGCAATCGTAATCGAAACCTGCGTAAAATCATCATTTTTCACCAGAGAAGCATTTTTGCGAACAAAGTTTGCAAATTACTTATGAATAGAGACTTTCAAGGACGAAAAGAACTTTGGTGACAACAGAAAAAATTGAAATTTGAAAGAAACGAAGAAAAAAGCGAAAATCCGAAAAATGGCCAAGCGTGTTGTCCATAGAGCAACTTTACTGCAAAGCGCCCTTTTCGCGGGAACTCAAACTTTCCTCCCTCCGACTTTGAATCATTTTTTTCTCTACAAAACTAGGAAGTCGGTACGTTTCCACGTTGACTGTTCTATTCGCAATGAAAAGCTCTACAAAATACTGCTTTAAACTGAAACACCTTTTATCATCGAGAAACTTGAATAAAGCCCCCTTAAGTGACTGAAAGTAGAGGAGAGACCACAATTATGAATTCGAATTCAAAAAAAAGGCATTTCAAACAAAAAAGTCCTTTTTTGCTGTACCTTTGGGACTTTCAAAAAAAAAAAAAAACGCTAATAAATTTATCTTTTTCGCTTGGATCTGGAGCGTTTGGCGAGGTTTATCTTGCCGAAGTGAATGGCATTGGGATTCGCGAAGTAAAAGTCGCAGTAAAAACCGTGAGTACAATTAAATGGGTGTTCTTGGAAGGAACTTCTCTTCTTGCAGTTACCGAAAGATAGTCCTCAGTCGTATGGTCACGGTGAAAAAATGCTTAACGAAGCCCGAATCATGCTCTCTTTGAGTCACGAAAACGTCATCGAAATCTACGGATGGGCGATTGATAAAAAGCCGTTTTTGATTCTATTGGAGCTGATGGAGGGTGAGCGATCCCACTTTTGGAAATCAGTTCGAAAACAAAAACCAAAGCTATATAGTTCGTTCGCCGCGAGTTGAAAGGGCAGGACTTCTCTGTGCCCTCTTCATCTCTAGACGTCTCTCTCATGTTTACGTGATATTTCCATTTTTCTCTGACCTCGCCGATGAGGGAACAGAGAGACGCAGACGCGCGAAAACTCTCAAGTCGTGGCGGGCCGACTATATCATTCAACTTGGCTCTCGACACTTGAGAAAAGAAAACTCTACTTATGAAACTCTACGGTCCATCTGTTGAGAGATGAAATTGAATGAAAATGCAGTCTTGTAGAAAAGCTGAAAACTCAAAGAGAAAAGCTAATCCTCACGAAACGGTATTTTCCAGGCGGCTCTCTGGACCATTTTCTTATCACAAACTTTGACGGGTCGAACAACTCCCGACTGCTGAAATTTTCGCTTGAAGCGGCAAGAGGACTAACTTACCTGCATCAGAGGAACGTGCTGCACCGAGATGTGGCTGCAAGAAACTGCTTGCTCACTTCCGATCTCACGGTTCGATCGAAATTATCGACAGACACTGGAAAGAAGTATTTTCTAGGTTAAAATTTCGGATTACGGGATGGCAGTACCCGGCAGCTTCTTCTATATGAAGACCGCGGAGAAGTTGCCAACCCGATATTTGTCGCCAGAGACATTATCTCTTTTCCTCTTTTCGTCCGCTTCTGACTGCTTCGCCTTCGGCGTTAGTTGACTTCCTTAGAACTCGAAAAAAAAAAATGGATTCTTTTAGAATTTGATCTACGAGATCTTTTCCGGAGGTATGATGCCCTTCGAGGAGTTGAATTCGAGCGACGCAAGAGAAAAGGTCTGGTCCATTCAAATCTTTTTCAGTTGCAGGTGATAAGAGAAAGCGGAGTCACAAAAAGAAAAACTTGGACTTTTTGAAAGCTTCTTACGTATCCAATCAAAAGAAACATTTTTTTTAAAAAAAAAATTGCTTTGACTTAATCTACAAGGAGCATAATTTTATAGTGAAATTTGGAGTTTTCATGAAATTGTCCAAACACAATGAAGATCCTAGTGGTTACTCTCGCAGAGTTGAAGCTTCCGGTTAATGTCGGAACTCAAATTTCACACACAATCAAGATCTAGACTACGTGATAGCGCAAACATGTAGGAAATCCTGAAAAAAAAAACCACTCCGTTTTTGTCAGAGGCAAAATGCTGAGTTCAGATCTTGACTGGCGAAATCAACAATTTCGAAGACACCCGCGCTCCGCCGGCTCTTCGTTCCTACGTCGAACTCAATCTATGGGCGTATTGCATGAAAGACCGTACGGATATGGACACGGTTTCAAAGTTTATTTGGTTGGACCTAAAGAACAACTTCAGACTCTGAAATTTCTCAAGGGTCTCTACAGGGAATGCAAGGTGGGTTCATCTGTCTACAATAGTTTCTGATTCAAATATTCCTTCAGATGGAAGGGGGGCCCAAGACCGTCACGCAAAAAACCGAAGGGAGCCTGGTGAGTTCATATAGTCTGATCAGACTTTAAATGTCAAGTCCTCGCTCAAGCTCCGCCCCCTCATGGCGCGGTGAACCAATCGGATAGCGAGCCATCCACAGCTCGGCAGGAATTATGCTCCGGGCAGACCCTATCTGGGATGCGGCCTTTAAATTTTTCGGTGCTTTTTTTCTCGCACATTCAGGGGCAGAACCGAGCGCGGTGACATTTTATTGCGCAATGACCTCGAGAGTGGAGTTTTCGAAATTCCGAGTCAATTCAGTGCAATTTCAGGGGAGAAAGCGAGCGAAAAAAAGCGAATCTCAAATCTGTAATTTTTCTCAAATTCAATTCTAAAAATTTTTATTTAGTAGATCTTTTGAACTTAAATAGAATCTGCAGCTATCGTAATAGCTTACCTCTTTTGCGCCCCATGGGAATAGGTTAAGTCGCACCGTTGATAATAATTTTTTTTTTCTTGCATTTTGAATTTCGTGGTCAGCACTGTGCAGCCTCTCCTTTCGCACGAAAAAGACTCGAAAATGTTACGGTTTGTCACTACCACTTGCAAAGTGCAAAAGATGGGGAAAAGAGAGCAAATTTGGGGGTTGCACCGGGCCGAGGTGTCTGCCGAGAGCGTTTTCGAAGGACGTCATTCTATAGTCAATTTTTCCCGACTTGAAAGGCGAGGGGGGCGACGCAAGGGGCGGGACGCGTAGCGTGTGCATGTGCGGCTCTTGGCGCCAGTTCAATTTAAAGGCATAGGGGCCGTAAAAAACGGGGTTTCCGGTGAAAGCAGTACCTTATATAGTTTTTCATTGCGAATCGAACTGTGCTATCGAAAAAATTACAAATGTGACTTCTTTTGAAGAAAAACGCGATTTTACTTTCCCGCCTTTATTTTTGAAAAATGCTTTGGATTGGTGTACGAGCAACTGTTTACAGTAGCATGCACGCAATGTTGCGGACGTCTCATTAGACTCGCATTTTGTGAGAAATAACCGGATATCTGCTTCAAATGAATTTTTTCTTTTCTGAAAAAACATTCAGTCCAACAAAAAGCACTGATAATGAAGGAAACACAAAATGTTGCAATCATAATCAAAACCTGCGTAAAATCATCATTTTTCACCAGAGAAGCATTTTTGCGAACAAAGTTTGCAAATCATACATGAATAGAAAGCTTTTGTGACGAAAAGAACTTTGGTGACAACAGAAAAAATTGAATATTGTAAGAAACGAAGAAAAAAGCGAAAATCCGACAAATGGCGAAGCGTGTTGTCCATAGAGCAACTTTACTGCAAAGCGCTCTTTTCGCGGGAACTCAAACTTTCCTCCCTCCGACTTTGAATCATTTTTTTTTCTACAAAACTAGGAAGTCGGTACGTTTCCAAGTTGACCGTTCTATTCGCAATAAAGAGCTCTACAAAATACTGCTTTGAATCGCCGCCGACTATTTAAAAAGCTCGGCAACCGCTCTTTCTCTGTATTTTCTACTACTTTTTGATTCACACATGAACATAATCAAAAAATAATTTTTAAAAAAAAGGAATGAAAAGAGCGATAAATAAGCTCTCTGAATGCTCTCTGGCGGTTGAATTGAGCTCGTGCCAAGAGCCGCGTACGCACACGCTACGCTTCCCGCCTTTCAAGTCGGCAAAAATTGATAATACCTGAGATTCAAAATCTGAACTGACTATACGAGCTCGATAACAGGAATCGTGCAAACTTTTTCGAAGCTTTTGTGATAAATTTAGTGGGAAACTTTCCAGAAAACCATGATTCGTGATTTGAATCGATAAATGACATGCGGAAAGGTGACGAAATAAAGCAACTCTGGAAACAAAACAAAAAAACCAAGAATTAAGTTCCATGACAAAACTTTCTTATAATCTGAGTTTTTTTTAAATCGAGCAATGAACTTCTATCACTACAGGCCAATGAGGAAGCGGTGCCCGTTAAGAATAAAGTCTCCACAAAAATCCGCCGTCGCAAGCCCGTGAGCCGCGCGGTCAGTTACGCCTTCACCTGGACCATTTTGAGAGCTTTTTTTTCAGGAGATAATGGAGGACATATGTCCTACTCAAGAAGACACGGCCGCCAACAATGACTGACTCTCACCAACTCGTTTATCCCGAATTTCCTTTAGATTTCGATGTCTCCACTGATTTTTTATTGGTAAAACTTGATGATCTCCCGAATTCCGCCTTTTTCGACTCACTTTCTTCGCGATTGCTCTAATTCTGGTCTTGATCCGGGTTAAAGTCTAATTCCCGTTACTGGTTTTTCCGCTGCGCTTCTGTCTTGTTTTATTAAGAGGAAAATCGCATCATACGTCGGCTGGATTCCACCCCGGGGTGCGGTCTACTTCAGTATAGGCCATTCAACGCCAGCTTGTCACGTTGTTCTTTTCGCCAAAAAGGCCAGGTCAAATTTAACCAACTTTCGCTTCAAGAATTTTGTTTCTTGCCGTTATAAAAGCAGAAATTTGATCTAATTTGGTATACGGTCTTTTTGGCGGAAAGAAAAACGTGACAAGCTGCCGCGGAACTCGCATGCTGAGCAGGTGTCTCAGCGGGTGTACCCGTGTTTCTGAGGTTATTTTAGTCTCAGTTGGGCTAAAACGGGGAACAACGGGTGTAAGAAAAATATGTGGCCCAGCTGGGCTAAAGCGGGGTCTCAGTTGGGCTAAAAATTGTCAAAAGTTCTATCAGCTGGGCTTATACGGGTTTAATACGGGGGCACCCGCTGAGACCCCGTGTTAGCACGGCGGGGTTACCCTGCTCAGCATTCGAGTATGAATCGCATCCCTTCAGTTCTTTTTGTTTTTGAAAGAACAACTTTTTCTATTACAAGATTGGTTTTAAAGGCCATTCAATTTTGATTTTAAAAAAAAACAACAAAGAAATCGTTTTTAGTTTCAAAAAATTATCCCAAAAAACCACGATTTGATTATGCCGGACTTCAACCTGACAAGATTACATGAAGAGATATTTATTTGAAAGTTATGAAGCAAACTTTTTTTTCTGCTTAATAAACCGCTTGCGACCAAAACAGTTCATATACCCAAACTTCGCAAAACTTCCATCTTTCATTTAAAATAATGAAAAAAAGACATTTTTTTGAATTAGATTTTAACGATCATTGGTGTGTTGCAGAGTTAGTCAGAAAAAGATAACATGACGTTTAAAAATTTTTTTCAACTCTTTAAAAAAAGATGAATGATCTCGTATAGCTGATTCACGGCCAGCTTGGGACGCTAAGGGGGGCGCTGGGCGCTGTCTCGTGCATTATCGTGTCAGGACCCGTTTTTTTCGATGGCTCAAGCCAGCCGTGAATCAGCTATATGACTCAATAAATCAATAATAAATGAATGATCATTTTATTTCATTTTTTTCATTTTTTTCAAACTTCAAAAAGGCTTACCTGGACCATTATGAACGATTTCTATCAACTTCGGGATCTGGATTCCTATATTCTCGTTGTCCAGTATTCTTATAGCGCCAGTTCTCGTAGATCTTGACAAAAAACCCGAAACAAGTGCAGCAAGAGTAGGTTGTTCCAGGTTGATCGATTCAAAGGTACATTCCTCCGTTTTCGTAGCAAAACACTCGGGTGGAAGAGCATCCCCTGATGGAAACGCGTACATCGGTCTTTTGCAATAATAATAGTTTATTCACTGCCATAAAAAAAAACATTAGGTAGTATAGAAAAATTATAAGTGATCAACATATGACGGGCAGGAGAATAACAATACGCGGGAAGGAGTCAACCCCAACGAGTTGACAGGTACCCGGAAGTAAGAAGAAATTTTTTACACAAGGCGAGAAGGGATATTTTCATAAAAAGCTTGATTAGGAAGATTATTCAATTTGTTCCGAAGGGTTTCTGGGGTGACGTTAAAATCTAAATAAGAAGTTAATTTGTTCCAAAGAGGAATAGTCCTAGAAAAAGTAGTCATTAGAAAAACTGACCAGCTGTCCGTAGTCGAAGTGGATTTCTCTGTAACAGGGATTGAGTGAAATACTTATTGCGATCGAGACAATGATCAGAGCCACAGACAATTTTATGTAGAGTGATTATATCACAAATTTTACGGCGAATGAACAAAGGTTTGATATTAAACTGATTGAGGCGATCGGAATAAGAAGAGAAGCTGACATTACAGCGGATGAAAACTTTCCGACTGAAGAGACGGAGAGATGATTCGAGTTTGTAGGATTCATCAGATGAAATAGCGGGAGAGAAAAGCTCGGAGCAATATTCAAGGACTGGAACCACGTAAGTTTGAAACATACGAAAGTAGTTAAGAGGAGAAGAAAATTTGAAGGTATTAAGTATTTGGTTAGAGCGTAAGGTGGCAAAGGCAGAAATTCGATTTATGTGTTGTTTAAAGGAGAGTTTATCATCAATAAAAAGACCAAGATCACGAACAATGGAACTTTGAGGGATTTCAAGACGGTCGACGAAGTATCGGGTTCGAGGGTTGTCAGGACCAAAATGAACTGAGAAAGTTTTTTCGGAAGCAAGGGGGAGAGACCAAATGCGAGACCATTCTAGGATACCATTAATGCTGCTTTGGAGAGATCTGGGGCAGTTACTAAAAAAATTTTTTTATATCGTCTGCAAAAAAATAGAAATGGAGGTGGAGGCATCAATATAATTTTTCAATATCGTTAATAAAAAAATCAAAAAAAGAAGTGGACCACTTACTGTTCCTTGGAGGACACCGGAGGGGTTAGGGAAACTAGAATCAGCAAAGGATTGGTTTACTTTTAACAGTCGAAGTTCTATTAGAAAGGAAGTTGGAAAACCAACGACTGAGAGTTTGATCAAAGCCAAAGTTGTGCATTTTTGAGGCGTAAGAGGTCATGGTTGACTTTGTCAAACGCTTTACAGAAATCGAAGTAGACAGCATCAACAGAAATTTTAGATGCCAAGGATTTCTGAATATCGGAAATTGAGCTAATAAGAGAGAGCTTACAAGATCTTCGATTTAAAAAACCAAATTGAAATTGAGAAAATCTATGAGAAAAGCGAATTCTAACCATATTAGTAACAATCCGTTCAAAAACACGGGAAATTGGATGAGTAAGGGAGATAGGACGAAAAATTGGACGGGTCTGAAAGATTTCCTTTTTTTGTGAACAGGAATAATCGTAGTGGTTTTTGAAGGAAGAAGGGATAATACCAGTAAGATATGATTCGTTAAAAATGATAGATAAAGGGAGAGAAATTGAAAAGGCACATTTTTTCAGGACTAGAAAGTTTATGTTATCCGTAGAAAAACCGCATTTTGGTGGTAAGGAGGTCAAAAATTTATATACAATTTCAGGAGAGAATGAGATGTTACAGTTGATAGGTTCCGGTGAGGGAAAAGCTGGAAACAGGGGAGCGTTAGGCGCGGCGAAGTTGGAGGAGAAAACAGAGGAAAAAACATTAGCTTTAGAAGTGTCGTCAGTAATATAATTATCATTAAAAATCAAATTGGGGATGCCAGAATCTTGTTTGAGTTGAGTAGATATGAACTTAGAAAGCTTGGAGCAATTGTAAGTGAGAGAAACCTTAGTGTGATGTTTTCTCAACAAAAAAGCAGTCCTTTTCCGAATGAGATTGACAATAAGATTTAACTTGTGACGTAAATAGCTAGTGCGGAGACCGTTTCTAATCGAAAGGGATTTTTTCTGAAATAAACGACGGATAATTCGATCAGTTTTAAAGTTGAAAGAGCGATTGTGTGAGATGACGGCTAGAGGACAGTTATCGCGTATCAATTCATTAAAAATTGTTAAAAAATGCTGAAGTTTGGATTCTACTGTTGAGAAGTAACTGAGTTGACGTACCCAGTTGAAAGATAATAAAGATAGATTGAGAGAATCAAAATCACATTTTATGTAGTTAAGACGACGATGAGGTACAGAAGGAGTGATAACAAAAGGGCAACTGAATTTGAATGAAACAGAATTATGATCAGAACCCAAGATAGGCTCAGTGATTTTGATATCAGTTATTGAATTAGTAGAATTAGAAAGAACGAGATCGAGGATATTAGACGAATGATCCGTGATTCTAGTGGCCGAGGTTACAAGTTGAGAAAAATTATAGCTCAAGCAAAAATCGAGAAGGGCTTGGGAACTAGGATTTGAACAGGACAGATTAGACCAATCAATGGAAGGAAGATTAAAATCACCAAGAATTGTACATTTGGAATTAGTTATAAAACGAGAAATATGATTAAATAAGTTAGAAGTGCGGTCAGTAGGAGTGGAAGGAGGTCTGTAAATTAAGAAAAAACGAGATTTGGGAGAGCGAGGAAATACGAGGTCAAAAGCTAGCATATCGCAAAAGTGAGAGGGGTAATACCTGTTATAAAGAAGATCCACTTCGACAATCGGCAGAGTCTTTCGAAAAATGATGATGACGCCCCCACCAGAAACTCTTCCTGAAGAAATAGAGCGATCTTTCCGAAGAAAACTGAAAAAGGAATGATTAAAAAGTGAGTTTGGAAATTCCTCGGTTAAAAAAGTTTCGCAAATAAAACAAATATCGATCGATAAAGACACAAGGTGGTCGAATAAAAGTTCAATTTTGCTTGAGGAACGTAGGGAACGAATATTAGAAAGTAAGACATTGAGACCATTGAAATTTCGATAAATATGCTGGCTGGAAGTGTGAGGAGAGCGCGGAGGAGAGAGAGGGTTAGATGGAAAGAGAGAGTTAGAAGAAGGCAGAGATTTGAGAGAGTTAGAGAGTGGTAACTCGAAAAACACGTTAGAAGAATCTGTTACAGGTAATTCAGAACTGTTAAACATGAGATGAAGGTGACGACATAATGGCGTCAGGAAGAGGGGATGAATTCACAGGATCGAGATTAACATTGACAGCATTGGAAATAGGAGCAATAGGATTAACATTGACATCAGAAGAATAAATAGGGGTTACATGATTTTTAGGATACGATTTGACAGTTTTTCGCGCAATAGAGAGATCTCGAACATAAAAAGAGTTGGGATTCTCCTTGTTCAGAAGAAAAACACGAAAGCGAATGCGTTTAAGAAGGGCCAACTCAGGAAGAGTCATGTCGCGTCTGACTTTGAAGAAAGGAATTGGAGGAATCTGAGGAAGAGATAAGACAGCGCGACGAGCCTTGAAAATGAACAGATTGCGAGACTCAACAGTATCGAACTTGATTTTAAGAGGACGAGGAAGGGACTTACAATCATGAACGAGAGCACGAGTTGAGCCATGTTTTTATTTGTTTCAGCCAGTTGTTCAACGATTGAAGCCATTTGAGAAGTTACGGTAGCACGCGGAGTACGAGATCTTTTGGGGGAAGAGACCTTGCCAAGATTAGGCCGCTTGATACCAGCCATCGGATTAGAGTAGAGAGACGAGGACGACACGACCGCACAGGATGAGAACAGAGAGGTCGAATGATGCAACATGCCTCTGGAATCAAGCGGAAAGTCTTGTTTCGATACACGCCAGAAAAAAAAAATCGAAGATATCTCTGGTATCACGAGCTAATTTCGACAAGCCTTTCACGGCGTTCCCAAACGGGGTGGAGAAACGTCAAAAAATTTTGGCGTGAAAGTTCATATCTCAAGTACGCAGCCAAAGCTGGTCGAAAAAACAGGTTATTAGCGTTTAATACTCACACGGGGAGTGCAAAAAATGGTGGGTTGAGAATTCGATGAAACTTGGTATATACGTACTTTGGGACACCCTGATTCCAATAAAGTTGAAAAAAAGTGCGCATTTATGGTTGTAGTAGAGTTATGGCATCTCGAAGTTTGCACGCGAAAATGCATTGGATGGAAGGAGGGAGTATCTCGCGGCGGCTAACTTCCACTGCCATGAGGTGGCGTGGTGTAGTGGCTAGCAGCCTTGTGCTGTGAAACCTATGATGCAGGTTCGGTCCTTTTTTGGGGGAAATTTATTTTTTTGCCAATTTTTTCTTCAAAAAAATTAGTAAGTTTTGAAGATGGAGTGAGAAAACAGCTCAAAATGTTGAAATTCACCATTTTATGCCCTTCTGAGAAATAATTTTGACAAAAAATTTTTTTCGCTATAAATTTCCTTTTTTAACCATAGGGCTTATGGTCGACTACTTTATTTAAAAAAATTTGTGATAAAAACAAAATTTTTATGAGATTCATTCTTTGTTCTTCTTCTTTTTAAGATGTTCTTCTTTCAAGACATCATAGGTTCCACAGCGCAGGACGCTAGCCACTACACCACGCCACCTCCTGGCAGTTGAAGTTAGCCGCCGCGAGATATTCCCCCTTCCATTCAATGCATTTTTCGCGTGCAAAACTTGAATTTTTCCCTTCTGAAAGAAAATTTTTCCGGGTCAGTTCTATAACTACAAATGTTCAAATGGGAAGATATTTTGTTTTAAAATTTGTTTGGACGAATTTGCTCCACTAGGAAAAAGTTTGGTTTCTACGATGTTTTTTCTACAGTAAGCCTGAAAGGGGGCGGAGCCTAATAAAACCTGGTTCTAAATATTCAAGAGGTTATTCACTATTCATGATAGCAAGGAGAGCTCTCAGGAACAAAGATGAAATTTTTTTACCAACGGTTAATCGAAAATCTCGGAGAACGTGTGTTAAGCTGTGTTGGAAAAAAAGGGGGTTTCTATTTCAATTTTGCATTTTTTTTTTTCAAATTCTTCAACAAAAAAGTCGAGTGGATTCAAAAAGGCTCCGCTCAGGATATGAAAAGGAGCTCAAAAGCTTTTTTACATAATTTGAAGAGCTTTTAGAGAAACTCTCAGGATCCTTTGGAGATCCTAAAAAGGAACTTTTCAATTTTACCCATGATTGAAAAAAAGTTCACCTGGCTCTTGGTTTTTTTAAAATTTTTTTATCGTTCGATTTTTTTTTCTTCGTTGTTTCATTGTGAGGATGTCCTGCTAACGAATATTATCGAACCCAATAGATATTACGAACTTTTTTGAAGCCTTTACTAGACTTGGCATGTTGAATGCACTGAACATAGAAGAAAAAAAGTTTACCTTGACTTGTAACCTTTGACAAAGTGCAAAACAGTAAACCGAAGGCGAAAATTAGCTGCCTTTTCAGACGAGGTTTGGACGACCCTTGAAAAACAAAGTTTGGAACTTACAAGGCTAATTTAAACCTAATTTGAACTAAAAAATATTGCAAAAGCGGTAATAAATCAAAATAAATTAGCAAAAAGTTTTCAAGACTCCGAATTCGAAGCCGCGTTCAAAGTTGCGTTGAGAAATTAAAGAATACGCGGAGAAATAGATTGAAAAAATCACTTAAAAACTCTTACAAGCCCTAGAGAGAATTCCTGAGAATTTGTGGAGAGTCGGGAATCATTTCTGATTTCGTAAAGTCGCTTCCAGGCGCTTTGATTATGCGCTTTGAATACATGGAAGTAAGTATTGAGAGAACATGTGACATTAGCATTTTGATCAGAAATGGCCTGCAGAATTTTTCACATAGCTTAAAGGCATAGGGGCAGTAAAGTAAAAAACGGTGTTTCAGTTCAAAGCAGTATTTTGTAGAGCTTTTCATTGCGAATCGAACGGTAAACTTGGAAACGTACCGACTTCCTAGTTTTGTAGAAAAAAAAATGATTCAAAGTCGGAGGGAGGAAAGTTTGAGTTCCCGCGAAAAGAGCGCTTTGCAGTAAAGTTGCTCTATGGACAACACGCTTCACCATTTTTCGGATTTTTCCTTTTTTTTTTCGTTTCTTTCGAATTTCAATTTTTTCTGTTTTCACCAATGTTCTTTATGTCACAAAAACGTTCTATTGATGTATGATTTGCGAACTTTGATCGCAAAAATGCTTTTCTGCTGAAAAATGATGATTTTACGCAGGTTTCGATTATGATTGCAATACTTTGTGTTTCCTTCATTATCAGTGCTTTTTGCTTGACTGAATGTTTTTTCAGAAAAGGAACTCTTAATTTGAAAGAGATATCCGGTTATTTCTCACAAAACGCGAGTCTAATGAGACGTCCGCGACATCGCGTTCACAGCTACTGTAACCAGTTGTCTGTATACCGATCCAAAGCATTTTCAAAATTAAAGGCGGGAAAGTAAAATCGCGTTTTTCTTCAAAAGAAGTCACATTTGTAATTTTTTCGATAGCACAGTTCGATTCGCAATGAAAAACTATATACGATACTGCTTTCACCGGAAACCCCGCTTTTTACTGCCCCTATGCCTTTAATGAGGGAAATTTTTCGGCGAAAATTTTTCTTATGTCAAAATAGTCACTTTTAGCAACTCAAGTACTAGTTGGGGACGCGCAAAAATGCACGTCGCATTATAACTTTAATCACGGTTAATGAAATGAACAGAAGAATGTTACAAATTGTAAAAAAAAAGTCTAATGAAGAGCATTCCACAAACGTTTTGAAATAAAACTGACTGCTCGAAAGATTTTTTGCGCCGTTTTGATAGCTGATTCACGCCTAGCTTGAGCCATCGAAAAACGGGTCCTGACACGATAATGCACGAGATAGCGCCTGGCTCGTGGAGAGCGTAGACAGGACACGCCCCCTCCCAAGCTAACCGTGAATCAGCTAGAGCAACTAGCGCGCTACGAACCCAATTTTTCATTTGTTGAGGGCCTGGGCTTTTTTCATCCAAAAGCGCAGTTTTTTCCAGTCGAATGTCAAGTTTTTCACGACAAAAGTCACGTTTTCGCTTATTTTCTCACTTAAACAAGTTCAACTTGAACTAGATTTTTCGGTGGAAATTCGTTCAATGAAACTTCAAACTTTTTTGACTCGCCAACTCATTGGTGATAAAAAATAAAAGTCTGAAAAGTTACCCATTGTTACCAGTCGGTGAAGAACCGCGACAATGACTGTCAGTTACGCGAATGTGAACGCCACGTTTCTTTTATTGGCTGCGTTTACGCAGCCACATGACTAACATGCAAGGTCATTTTTGCGTAGGGTTTGGAATTTTCTATAAAATTGCTCAAAGCATCTTTGATGGACTGGGAATCGATCCCGCATAGTCGCTATCTGCGCAAACTTTTCGTTTTGGAGATATGATTTTTTAAATGTTTTGTCCTCAAACACGGGAGACCGTTTGGAAAGAATGTATCCCCACAACCAGTCATTTCATGGCAGCTAGGAGCGTGGTGCAGTGGCAAGAGCGGTTGCCTGCGAAGCCTATGATGAAGGTTCGAATCTTTTTGAGGCTATCGACTTTTGCCATTTATTTTTTTGATGGATCATGATGAACATGTCGAAAATTCATAAACAAAAACGTTCAAAACCTTTCGATGACCATTTTCTTGCAAAAATAACTTTTTCAACAAAAATTTTTTTTTTGCGGCATGCTTCACATCGTAAAAAAATAATTTTTTTCTTCAAATTCATTTGCAAAAAAACATTTTTAGACTACGAAAATTTTTGGAAAAAAATCACTTTTTATTGAAATTAAAAAGGAAATCTTCAGTCTCTGATGATTTTAGGGTCGACCAGAACTTCAAGAAATTTTCAAAAAAAAATTTTGTTGAAAAAGTTGTTTTTGCAAGAAAATGGTTATCGAAAGGTTTTGAACGTTTCAATTTATGAAGTTTCGACATGTTCATCATGATCCATCAAAAAAATAAATGGCAAAAATCGATAGCCTCAAAAAGATTCGAACCTTCATCATAGGCTTCGCAGGCAACCGCTCTTGCCACTGCACCACGCTCCTAGCTGCCATGAAATGACTGGTTGCGGGGATACATTCTTTCCAAACGGTCTCCCGTGTTTGAGGACAAAACATTTAAAAAATCATATCTCCAAAACGAAAAGTTTGCGCAGATAGCGACTATGCGGGATCGATTCCCAGTCCATCAAAGATGCTTTGAGCAAATTTATAGAAAATTCCAAACCCTACACAAAAATGAACTTCCATGTAAAGATATCTTCCGAGTCTGACAAGAGAGGAATACGGAATCTCGCTTTTTTCTCGGTGCGAAACGAAAATTGCTTCGAAACGCAAAAAAAAATTGCTGCAAAATAAATATTATTACTGTTTTGGAGCAACTTTGGCGGGTCCGATGAACACGATTTTTAAACCTAATCCGTACTGTATTATTGAAAAGCTGATAATGAGACGAATCGATTTTGCTGTAACTTCAAAAGGAACGGAGTTAGGAAGCTTAAAAGTCCGAAAAGTGCGATTTTTTTCACACCCCTTTTTCAGTCGATTTCTTAGCTTTTTTTCGAAAGTGATATGACAAAAGTACTATATAGAAGCTGCTCTATCGATTGCACTAGAAAAAAGTCGAAAAAGATCGACTTTGTTTGAGTTTTCCTCTTTTCTCAAAGAGACCGCACCGATGAGAGCCTTAGACGAGCACCTGACCCGACGCGCAACCTCGTACAATGCATTCAATCTCACGCGCAGTTTTAATTTTTAACATATCTTTGGAGGCTCATATCTTGGCTCCCAGAGCAGCTACATCTTATCCAACTATATCAATCGATTTGTCTGGTCGTCAGCTTCCGAATGATATGCGTCTCCTAGAGATTGAGCTTCATCCAGAAGCTTCAGACTTGCCGCAGCTTACAACTCCTGTTTGATAAGTTATCAGGGACATCATTGAGTCCGTCTCAAGACGCTCTATCGAAAATGAGTTCAAATAATCGTTCGCGAATTTCCCTGCCGAAAAAACAAAGTGCTGGCGCGAGTGGTCCCTTCAGGGGAGATCCCTCGATAAATCACCAAGAAAAGGACAAAAATCGATAAAAACTTTCTTTCTCGCCAAAAAAACACAGCCAATCAATCGGTGATACAAAAACGAATAAGCTTTATATTTTACAACGTTTGTGGGGGGTGAGAAGAATGAGGCATGCAAATTGAGGAGGAAGCGGCGTCGTTTCTGTGCATTTTCCACGTCGAGGGGTTAGTCAAAATCGAGTAATTGTTCTTTTTTCGGTTCAAAATACAGAATAAAGTGATAAAATGGGTTAGGTTATTAGGAGTCGACGGCAAAATTTTCATGAGAAATAGGGAAAAATTTTTCGTTTTGAAATTGTACAGTTGGAGAGGTCAATTGCTCAGGAAAGACTCGTTTTCTTCGTCTTCTTCGTTCTCGTCGTTCTCTGGAAAAAAAAAATCAACCTTTGAAAAATTCCTAAAATTCCTAGCATCTCCCAATATACACCTAAAGACCAGGAAAATTTTAAAAATTTCATGTTTTTCGGAATTTGTCATCTTCAAGTACAAAAAACCTCAAAAAAGGCTTTAAAAAATCTAAAACTCCTTTTCAAGTTCCTAAAAAGGTGAGTAGTGTGTAATTTTTCTAGCTACTGAACTCTTACAGTACCACCAATACCGTACCCCGATTACTACAGTACCCCCAATACAGTACTACCGATAGATGCCCCCCCGTGAATTCTGGCTTTAGAACTCTTACCGTACCCCCGATACAGTGCCCCGATTACTACCGTACCCCCTATACAGTACTACTGATACATACTAGGGGGGCTACGTTTTTGGACCTTGCCCGTGAGCTCTCACATGACAGAAAAAACTAGAAAATCTCTAGTTTTCAAAAATTTTCAAGTCTCAAACTCTCAAACTCTACATTTTTCGGAATTTTCCAACTTCAAGTACAAACAACACCCAGTTTCGTGGACTATATCGCAGCGAGTGGCGCGACATAGCAGCGACATATCTCGCTGCCATCTCGCTCAGCTCTAGCAAACTCCCGGCGCGATATCGGCGCGAGGTCGCGGATTATCGATTGGTCACTATTTACGTGCCATCAAAAATTTTACTTGAATTGTTTTTATTTTTTTCGTGTGTTAGATTCTCTCTGATTTTTTTATGTCTATTTTTTTCACTTAATATTTCTAAAATGTTAATTTTTACAACTAATGTAACGCTCATACAGTACCGTCAGAAAAAGGAAAAAAATGTTTTTTTCGCTCACAACTTCCTCGTATAGAGCTCAATCTTTCTGAAACTTTTTCAGCTGCGTTTCTAAGTTTTCACCACGGTGTTACAATCAACAGTCATCATATTTCCAGGAAGTTTCAAAAGGGTGAGATTCCATTAAAGAAAGTTGTGATTTAAAAAAGCTTTTTTTGTATATTTTTGACGAAACTGCACACCTTTCTTGAATTTGAAAGTCTTTTTCCGCATTTTTTTCATGTTTTAACCAAGGACTTCAGGTTATTAGTACTTCAAAATAGCATCTCACATTTTTTTTTCGATCAATAAAAGTCAAGAAAGATCGGTGGGAGATGGCACCGAAACTTTGCTTTTTGGATACAATCAATAAGATTTTTTTGGTAAACTATTTTTTTGAAACAGTATATCCATTTTTACTTGAAGATATGATTTGCACTTTGACGTCGATGGGTAAGGAAAAGAAGAAATGAGGCATGATTTCGAGAAAGCACGAACTGCTGTCTTGATACAGTCGCTCCTGTGAGTTATTCTCTTATTCAAGGTTGGAATTTTTCAGTGTTTCTCTTTTTTAACCGATTTTATCATTTAGAAAAGTTCTTGACGCAGCAAATGAAGGATATGCCGAAAACTATCGAGTCAAAGCTTACAGTAACATTTTTTTAAAGGGAACTTAGTGTCAATCTGATTGTTTAACTTAATCTTTCTTTTTTTCAAAAACTTCTTTCATTTTTCATTTCGAGCCTCCCTCCTTTATTTTTTTCTAATTTGAACTTTTTAAAGATCATCTACGAGCTTACAATCGGTTTACTTTTTCTGTTTTTTATTGAACCTACTCTTTTTCCTAGTCACATTTTTCCTATCAAAAATAAACGATACACATGTTTTTTTCGTCATATTGTCCTTTTCTATTCTTACTTGAAGCTTCACTCTTTCGCCTCAATTCAATTTTTTTTTTCTTCTAGATTTGTACATACTTTCCGTTTACTTACACCCTACAGTACTGCAAACTACAGTAATACTAGAGTAAGACTACAGCAATAGTACAGTACCCCAAGCTACCGTAATACTACATGACTTGGGGGCTACGTTTTCGGACCTTGCCCGTGAGCTCTCACATGACAGAAAAAAACTAGAAAATCTCTAGTTTTTCAAGAATTTTCAAGTCTCAAACTACAAACAATAATAAGAAATCTCCCAGAAAGTTTTTCAACTTGACATTTTTCAAAATATCAATGTCAAGCTCAAATTTCCCAGCCTACACTTTGAAAACAGCTAAGTTTGAAATTTCTGATTTTTCCTCGAAAATTTTTCAACTTCGAGCTTCAAATTTGCTAACAAATTCTGGCTTAAAATGACAAAAAAAGGTTCAAAATCTTTATTTTTCCGAAAAAAATTTCCTTTTCTCACGATTCCTATGATTCTCGGACCCACAAAAATTCTCAAGTCAAAAAAATATCCTTTTTATGCAGTAAATCTTCCAAAAAAACGCTTGAAATCGGAAAAAAATTTAAGTCATTAATAAATTTCAACTAATGAGCTTCATTCAAAAGACCCCGAATCAATATAAACTTTTTTTGAAGCCAATTTTTTTCCAGTTCTGAACTGAAAAAAATTCACTTTTTTTCTGTCAGAGAGTTGAAAAAAATAACATTTATAATTTTTTTGATTGATGATAAAAAAATTGAAAAAAATTTGCATGTTAGAAAATTGCCCGTTTAAGGTCCACTTTTCAAGCCTAATATCGAAAATACTGGCTTTTTCTGAAATCCCTGGTCCCTTTTTTTAAACTCAGTCTTCTCCTAGAACCCACCCTCAACAGGAGTGAATCGGGTTGGCCTCTGGCGAGCCGTCTTGAGTTTCGCCGCCGACGTCGTCGAGCAGTTCGCCAGCGAGTTGTTCAACGTCTTGAAATCACCCATTTTTCGCCTAATTTCTCTTGAGCTCACCTGGTTTTTACTACTATTCCCTCTGGAAACAAACGTTTTCGAGACCAACTGATGGACATAACGGGCCGTTCTGTTGTGATCCCTGAGAAACGATTTTGATTCGAAATTTTGAAATAAGCTACATTTTTTTTTTCTTATTCAAAACCGCAATTTTCAAAAGCATGTAATTTTTAAACAGGGATCAGAGTGTTCCCTTAAGAAGCAAGCTCGAAATTTTCTGACTCTCCAACTGGTTCTTTACGTTCCCTTCTTAAGGCGTCTCGAGGGATTACCGAAAAAGTTTCCGCTTAAAAGTTAAAAGCGACCTAATTTAACTCAAGTGTCCACTTCAACAAGTTTCGAGGGTGATGGCAGAGTAGTCTCTCAAGGAGCCACTTGGAGGACTTTTGTAAAATCTCCGCCTAAATACCCTTGACTCATCCCTTAAATGGCCACTTCGAAACACTCATAAAAAGATTATATTCAGAGAAGTCCCTTAAGAGGCCTCTTGGAGGACTTCCGAAAGATCTCCGCCTAAAAACCCTCGACCTATCCCTTAAATGGCCACTTCAAAACACTCCTAAAAAGATTATATTCAGAGTAGTCCCTTAAGAGGTCTCTCAGAGCATTTATCAGAAAGTATTCGCCTAAAAGTGCCCCGATTCATCTCTTAAGTGATCCCTTTATAATATTCCTAAATTGACGTCTTTTTTTTCCTAGTAGTCCCTTAAGAAGCCACTTGGAGGACTTTCGAAGAATCTCCGCCTAAAACCCTTGACATCCCTTAAGTGACCCCTTTATGAAATTCCTAAAGTAATGGCTTCTCGCCTTCTTCGGAGTAGTCCCTTAAGAGGCCTCTTGGAGTATTTTTCAGAAAGTATTCGCCTAAAAGCGCCACGATTCATCTCTAAAGTGACCACTTAGAAATATTCCTGAAAAAAGTCGCTCTTTTCGAAGTAGTTTCTTAAGGGGTCTCTTGGAAAATTATTTCTGAAAGCGCCTCCATTGCCCCCTTAAGTGATCCCTTTGCAATATTCCTGAAGCGGTGGCTCCTCTCCTTTTTGTAAAAGTCCCTTAAGGCTCCACTCAAGATTTTTCCGCCTTAAAGGGGCCCGATTGTCCCCTTAAGTGACCTCTTTGAAATACCCCTCAAGTGATTGCTTTCAAGTTTCTTTTTCAAAGCAGACTCTTAAGAGGCCTTTTAAGGGATTTTTCAAGAATTTTTCGCTAAAAAACGCCTCAAATCGTCTCTTAAGTGGCCACTTTGATATTTTCCTAAAGCGATGGCTTTTCGCCTTTTCGAAGTAGTCCTTAAGAGGCAACGAAGTGGTCCCTAGAGGGTCTTCTTCGAGGAAACCCTAGAAAACTTTCCTAAAGTGTTCTCTCGGAACCTTTTTACACTACAATTCTTCTAAAATTGTTTTTTAAAAAAATTAAAAATAATTTTTCTTTCAAATCACCTCTCCACGATCGATGACGTGTTGTTGTCCCTGCAAAATAATTATTTTTCATGAAACATTTTTTTTCGAACCTTGATTCCATTGGAGACTCAACAGTCGGCTGTGGGATGAACGACTTTCTTCGGCCTCCCTGGGAAAAAAAAAAATCAATTTTGAAGTCATACTCCGAAAAATCTGCGCTGTCTGCGCTCTCTTCTCTCTTACTGTCGAGGTCATAGAAGCATGAAAACAGCACGTAAAGGGGAGAGAGTACGCAGAGAAATCAGAGAAAACGCAACTTTCTTTGATCATCTCGTACTTTCGAGCTATTCGTTAGAGAAAAGAGGGCGCAGGCAGGTCAGACAGTTAGAGAAGCTTAGAAATATCGTGCAATCAGAAGAGCGCGCAGAGAAATCGGACATTTTTCTCCGAATATAGGCTAATTGTTAGAGAAAAGAGGGCGCAGAGAGACCAGACAGTTAGAGAAACTTGAAAGATCGTGTAGACAAAAGAGCGCGAAGAGAAATCAGACATCCTTCTTCGATTTTCTCGTGTTCATACGCTATTTGTGAGAGATAAGAGGGCGCAGACAGGTCAGACAGTCGTAGAAACGGCAAAACATCGTGGAAACAAGAGAGCGCCAGAGAAAACCCAATTTTCTTTGATCATCTCGTATTTTCGCGCTACTCGTTAGAGAAAAGAGGGCGCAGACAGGTCAGACAGTTGCGGCGAATGACGTCATTTTCCTATACCTTTGAGAGAAGTTAGAAATTTTTTCGACGCGCTTCCTGCTAGAGAAAAGAGGGCGTAGACATGTCAGACATTTTTCCTCAATTTTGTCGTGTTCATACGCTATTTGTGAGAGATAAGAGGGCGCAGACAGGTCAGACAGTTAGAGAAACTTATAAATATCATTTAAACAGGAGAGCGCGCAGAGAAAACGAGATTTTCTACGATTATAGACTAATTGTAAGAGAGAAGAGGGCGCAGACAGGTCAGACAGTTAGAGAAATTTAAAAAGATGGTGTAAACAATAGAGCGCGCAGAGAAACCAGACATCTTTTTCCGAATAGTTACTCGTTAGAGATAAGATGGCGCAGACAGGTCAGACAGTGCCAACGAATGACGTCACTTCCTGTACCTTTTTCTTTTCGACTTGGGCGGCCTGCAGAAGCGGCGAGTCGACGCCGGAGAGTAGGGAAAGGTCGGCCGAGATGTCGCCGGGACACATGTCTCGCTGAAAATTTCCGTTTTCCCCAACTTTTATCGATTTTTTGGGTCTACCAAAATGCTATCATCGTTGGTGTCCGCCGTGGTGTTCAACGTCTCAGGGGATCGTATCATTCCTTCTCTGAAAAAATCCGAAAAGTTCACTTTTTTGAGCTTTTTTTCTGTTTGTTCATCATCCTCAGGGCTGTCCAGGGGCGTCCCGGGTCGGCCCGCGGGTTGAAGCTTTTGTCCCGGGTAAACCCGACACTCAAAGTCAAGAATGACCTGGCGAACAAACCAAGAAAACCGGGCTTTGGACAAGCTTTTCGGGTCAACCCGGGGCGCTTTGCGGGTCAACCAGGGGCGCCGATTTACGGACCAACCCAGGGCGCTTTGCGGGTCAACACAGGGCGCTTTGGGCTCGCTCAGCAGGTCTAATTGAACTCCAATAAGCCCGGCTTGAAGCCTCCTGGCCGCACCTGGAATGGCTCAAGACTTCGCCGACACAAATCTACTTGGGCTTTTTCTCTGATTATCCCCCAGGGGCGTCCCGGGTCGGCCCGCGGGTTAAAGCTTTTGTCCGGGGGCAACCCAATCCGCAAAATCAAGAAAGACCTGATGGAAAAAAACAAGAAAATCGGGCCTTTGGGGGCGCTTCTTGGGTCAACCCGGGGCGCTTTGCGGGTTAACCCGGGGCGCTTCTTGGGTCAACCCGGGGCGCTTTGGGCTCGCTCAGCAGGTCTGATTAAACCCCATTCATCCCGACTTGAAGCCTCATGGCCGCACTTGGAATGGCTCAAGACTTTGCCGACGCTATTCGATACCAAAGCGCGCAAGTCAATTTGAGTCGGGCGCATTTCAGCCATCGAGTCATTCTACTTGCGACCAAGATTTCAATTCCCAAAAAATAATTCTATTCACCAAGCAAAGTGAAGTAATTGATTAAACTTGCCTACCTCCAAAAATAAAATGTTGCTGAAACAGTAAAGTCAACTTTTTTTTCCTTAGGTGTTTTTTCCGCGGCAATTTGAATATTGATTACTGTAATAGTCATTTTTTTCTTCATTTTTTTCATTTTCCCGATGCTTTTTTTCTCGAAATTCCCCCATTTCTGCGGCTTTCCTAACCGGAAAAATTTTGGAAATATCAAATTACAAGTTAAATTCGTGAGAAAAAAATGACATTTTTTTCAGCTATTTCGCGCAACTTTTTTTCAAAAAAACTTCTCGATTATCCCTTTAAAATGCACCTCAATTCGGCTTCGTTGTTCCGGAAGGCCGCCTTGGCTGTTATCTTTTTTTCGGCGTTTCAACCGGAATCGGCCGTTTTTTCCGGCGTTTCCTCGGCCAATGTCGGCTCTTTCCACTTGAGACGCGATATCGCAAACTGAAAAAAATCATTATTTTCCTATTTTTTTATTTTTAACTCGGAAAAATTAATTTCTATACACTTGTATGTTTCAGTAAAATGAAATGTTTAAAGAAAAATTCCCTTGTAAAAAGGATTTTGTGTAGAATTTTTGATTTTTTGAATTTTTTTAAAACTCTCATTTCTGTACTCTCTACCTCTCTCCTTTTTTCTTGTACACTTTCATTTCTCTAATCTCTCTCTGCGCTCTCTAGTTTGCTAGATCTTTCACTACTCTGTTCTCTCTTTCTTTCTCTATTTCTCTTGTAAGCGCTTATCTCTCTGCTCTCTCTCATTCTCTTAATGAACTCTCATTTTTCTGCTCTTTTTCTATGTTTCTCTGCGCTTTCTCACTTTCTTTTGAGATCTCGCCTTCCCCTACTCCCTCTCTTTCTCTTAATATACTCTCATTTCTCTACTCTCCATTTTTCTCTCATTTCTCTGCTCTTTGTCTCTTTTGAAAACGCTCATTTCTCTGCTCCCTCTTTCTATTTTGAAACCTTCAATTTCTTTGCTCTCCCTCTCTTTCTCTCAATATTCTCTCATTTCTCTGCATTCTCTCTCTCTCTATTTTTCTAGAAGACTTTCCTTTCTCTGCTCTTTCTTTTTCTTAACAAATTCTCTTTTCCCTCATATCATTATTTTTCTCTAAAACCCTCATATCTCTTCTCTTTCTCGTTCTCTTAAAACTTCCCATTTCAATGCTTTCTCCGCTATCTCTCTTGAAAACTCTCCTTTCCTCTGTTCTCCCTCTCTTTCTCTTTATAAACTCTCACTTCTCTGCTCTCTCTCTTTCTTCTCTCTCTCTCTCTCTACTCTTTCTGCTCTGCTCTCTCTCTCTACTCTTTCTCTGCTCTCCCTCCCCCTCTTTTTCTCTTTTTAACTCTCACTTCTTAGCTGTCTCTCTTTCTCTAAAAAACTCTCACTTCTCTAATCTCTCTCCTTCTCTCAAGAAGTCTCATTTCTCTGCTCTCTCTCTCTATTTTACACGCTATTCTCATTTTTCTAGAACTCGCCGGTGAGAGAAAAGAGGGCGCAGACAGGTCAGATAAACGGGGATGAGGTAAAACTAACAGCTCATTCTTCACAAAAACCCTTTTCCACTGCCAATTTTCATCTCAGAATCTATATTTTCGATGCAAATTCTTGTCAAAATCTCATTTTCCTGTCCCGAAATCCCCATTTTCCAGTTACCTGTCGACAATCCTCGCCAGTGGCGTTGGTTTTGGCCAAGAGTTTGGCGACCATTTCCCAGTCCTCGGCGCTTCCCGTCGGCTTTTTCGTCCGTATGGTCAGCTGAACCGGAAAATTATGAAAAAGGTCCCTTTTAAGGTCAAATTTCAACCTTAAGCTTGTCAACGTCGCGTTTTGGCCAAATCAGCCGTTTTTTGGGCGGCGGTTGAGGCGTCGTTTCTTAATGGAAAAAAAAGTTGAGAGCTTCAAAAATTCATTTTTTTTTTTGGTGAACCGATTTCCGAAATAAGCCCTTCTGAGGGATCCTGAAGGACACTAGTGGCCACTTCAGGGTTTTTGACGTTTAAGTGGTCACTATAGTGGTCGAATAAGTGGCCACTTAAGCAGCCTAGAAGTCCAAGGGGTACTACTAAACCATTAAAAAATACTATAGAGGCCACTAAGACTCAAAAAGTGGCTTCTATAGAGCTTGTTTAAGTGGCCCCTTCAGTGACCTCTCCAAGGATTCCTTGAGGAGCCTCTTAAGTGGCCACTAGAGTTTTTTTCAGGTTATCCGTCTTTCAAAGTGGCCACTATAGTGGTTTTGACGTTTTAGTGGCCATTATGGTAGTCGAGTTAGTGACCCCTTAAGTGGCTAAAGATTAGAGACCTTCTCAGAAGTCTGAGGTCACTAAAACTACTATAATGGCCACTAATACCCAAAAAGTGGCTTCTATAGAGGTGGTTTTAGTGGCCCCTTTAGTGCCCTCTCCAAGTGATCCTTGAGGTACCTCTTAAGTGATCACTAGAGTTTTTTGCTAAAAATCTGAATCAAACTAAAATAATGGAAGCTGTACTGTAGATTCTTGTTTAGTTCCATACTCATTCATTTGAAAAATTTCTAGTGGCCTCTTGAGGGATGTTACGTTTTAGTGGCCACTATAATAATCGAATAAGTGGCCACTTGAGCAGCCTAGAAGTTCAAGGGGCCTTACTAGATCATTAAAAACTACTATAATGACCACTAAGTCTCAAAAAGTGGCTACTAGAGAGCTTGTTTAAGTGGCCCCTTTATTGCCCTGTCCAAGAAGTCCTTGAGGGATCTCTTAAGTGATTTTTGTATAATGTCATTCTAAGTGTAAAAGCAATAGAAGTCTTTCTGTAAATTCCTGTTTAGTTTTAAAACTTTTTATGGGAGCTTTCTTGAGTAGTCCTTGAGGGGCCTCTCAAGTGGCCACTAGAGTTTTTCAGGCATGTACCTTTCTTGGCTCGAACAGCCTTTTTCTTCTCGACGGCGGGTCTTTTTGGCGTGGCGCCAGCCGCCAATTTCGACGGTCCGACGGGTTTTTTGGCATTCTGCCCGGCGAATCTCGGGCTCTGCCGCCGTACCACTCCTTCTTCCTTCTGAACAACAAAATCTTCCAGCTTTAAAAAAAAATTGAAGACTTCAAGATAACTGTCAGAAACGGCTTTTTTGAAAATCTAAACCTTTTTCTTAATTTTCGTCGTTAAAACTCCCAAATTTCTAGACTCTATTCTTCGCGTCCGCACTTGGAATGGCTCGGACTTATTTTGGAGCTCCTATCTCATCTAGCGCAAACCGTTTCGGGTCGGTCGCACTTTTAAGCAAGCCCCTTTGACCTAGATCCATTCCAAAAGCGAAAAAGAGGATAATAGGAATAAAAAATCAATAATTTTGACCATCCAAACAGCAGACTTGATGAAAAAAACTTTCATTTTTTTCTGAATTTTTTTGATATTCTATGATTGAACTCTACGCTGGCTCATCTAGCGCAAGCCGTTTCGGGTCGGTCGCACTTTTTAAGCAAGCCTCATAGACCTAGATCCTTTCCAGAAGCAAAAAGGGGAAAAAAAGCAAAAATTAATTCTTTTTGGACTTTTTGAAAAAAACCAATATTTTGCAAAAAAATTTTTATGTTATTTTTTTGAATTTTTTTCAATGTCTATGGTTCAATCGGGCGCAATTTTCAAGTCACGCAATTTTTTTTTTTTGAAAATTCCTTAAGTGGACCCTCGAAAAACTGACCACAGCATTCGCCCTAACTTTCTTCCCCACGTTGCTCCGGGGCTGAACTTCGGTTGCATCTGGAAAAAAATTTAAAAAAATTAAAAAGGATTTTTCAAAGTACGGTAGCAAGGATTACGGTAATTTTTCTTCAAATTTTAAAAATCCAACATCTCATTGTTGCTCTTTATTGCTCATAATACAAACATTTTTTTCATACTTTTTCGCCTTGAAAACCTTCAATGATCGTCTCAATAAAAAAAAACAGATTTTCGAGATACGGTAGCTCAAAGAGATTACGGTAGAAAGCTTAGAAAAATCATATCCCGTCGATAAATCGACGGATCTCAACCAAAGTTCTTCAAAAGGTGCAAGATAATCTCCTTCAATTTTTGAAAGTCTAAAATCTCATGTTTGCTCATTATTGCTCATAATAGAGATGGTTTTTTTTTCTCACTTTTCGCCTCGAAAACCTTTGATGATCGTCTCAATGAAAAGATTTTTTTTATTGAGAAAAAAAAATTTCGAGTTACGGTAGCAAGGATTACGGTAGAAAGCTTTAAAAACTCATATCTCTGCAAAAAAATCAACGGATCTCAACCAAAGTTCCTCACAAGGTGTAGAATAACTTTCTTCAATTTTTAAAAATCTAGCCACTCATTTTTGCTCATTATTGCTCATAATATAGAATTTTTCTAGAAAACCTTGAATGATCGTCTCCATGATGGAATCGTTGGCGTCGCCGTCCTCCATGGCCGCCTCGCAATTGTCCCGCATCCACAGATTTTGAATCGGCGCCATTTCTTTCGTCTTTCGCTGACTTTCCCGTTTCTCGGCCTCCCTAACCGCTTTCTCGCGTTCCTAAAAGCTTCGGTGATTCCTTCAAATTCGGAAGAAGCTCAAAAATTTGTTTCGAAGAAACTTTTGTTCCTTTAAAAATGATCAAAATGGAAAAAGAAGTTCAGAAAATCAAAAAATGTCATAATTTGGGAAATCTTTTAATTTTTCGTTTAAAAATGAAGTAATCTTGAATTTTTTGCAGATTCCAACAAAAAAAATCTCAAAACTACAGTAAAACTCTCATCTCTCCGAAAATCACTCAAGAGGTCCCTCAAGCATCAATTGGAGAGGACACTAAAGTGGTCACTAAGACCACCCCTTAGTGGCCACTATAGTAGTTTTCTAATGGTCTAGTAGTACCACTTTGACTTCTGAAAAGGCCCCTTGATTCAAACCCCTTGAGTGGCCACTAATTCAACCACTGTATTGACCACTTAAACGTCGAAACCCTTAAGAAGGAGCTTTAGCGGCTTCCAAAGTCTAATAACGCCTTTTTCAGGACTAAAAACTTGTACTTCTAACGAGGCTACTTAAGTGCACACTAATTCGACTACTGTAATTACCACTAGAACGCCCAAACCCTTGAGTGGCCACTGGAAACTTTCCAAGTGAATGATTTCAAAACTGAACAAGAATCTGCAGTACAACTTCTATTAACTTCATTTCGATTCGGGTTTTCAAAGTACTTTGAAAAACCTTAGTGGCCACTTAAGAGGTACCTCAAGGGCTACTGGGAGAGGACACTAGAGTGGCCACCAACTGTGTAGAAGCCACTATTTTAGGTCTTAGTGGCCACTATAGTAGTTTTAAAGGTCAAGTAGTACAAATGGACTTCTAAAGAGGCCCCACTAAAACTTCAAATCCCTAAAGTGCTCACTGGGAATTTTCCAAGCGAATAATCTTGAAACTGAGAGGACCCTAAAGTGGCCACCAACTCTAAAGAAGCCTTAGTTTGCTTTTAAGTGTCCACTATAGTAGTTTTTAGCGCTCAAGGATTCCCACTTGGACTTCTACAGATTTTAGCCTCTCAAGTGGTCACTAAACGGTCAAAACCCTTAAAAGGCCACTAGAATTTCAGCCACCTCAAGCTTCTTCATCCGGAGCTCCAACTCGCGCTCCTTGGCGTTCATCTCCTGCTTCTTGAGCAGCGTTTCGCGTCTTTCCCGGATTTCCAGAAGCTCCTGCTCGACGCGGTTGATCTCGAGCTCGCGATTGGGCTGAGGTCGGCTCCGGTGAGACCTGGAAATGAATATTATGTCTTTAAAATGACTCTAGAGCCGAAAAAGAGCCAGTAATCATCGAATAAAACGTGGATTTTTCATTTTTATCCACGGAAGTTATAATTTTCAACTCATTTCCAACGAAAATTTGATGTTTTTGACCAAAAAAAAATCGAAAAATCATCATTGAAAACGAGTAAAGTTCTATTAAAAATACCATTAAAATGATGAATTTCTTCATTTTTCAAAAGCAAAAACCCTTTTTTTGCCGAAAAATTGCTCAATTTTTGACAATTTTTTTCTGTAAAAAAAGCTCAAATTTCTCTACTTCCTATCACTGAGAAAACCCGAATTTCGTGTTTTTTTCTGAAGAAAAAAATCAAGGAATTTTTCAAATTCGCCTAAGAAGGGGTGAATGAACTTCCAAAGCAAACTTTTTTTCAAAGCTAAAAAAATACTATTTTTTTAGAGTAAAAAAATGTGAAAAAAATTCCATTAAAATACCATTAAAATGATGAATTTTAACATTTTCACGGCCAAATTTGATGAAAATTATTATTTTTTTATCCCTAAAATTCCAGTTTTTCCCTCTTTTTAACACTAAAAATGCAACAATTTCCAACTATTCTCTCGAAAAAATTCATTTTGAGCTGGTTTTTTTCACAACTTTTCTGTGAAAAAAATCTCGAAATTCTCAAATTTCTCTATTTCTTATCACTGAAAATACCCACTTTCCCCATCTTTTGCAAAAAAAATTTCATTCTTAAAAAAATTTTTCTCATGCATCAAATTCCGAAAAAAATACATTAATAGTGGAAAATTCGAACCTTTTTGGGCTGATTTTTCTCAAAATTTCTGTGAGAAACCCTTGAAAATCTCAAATTTATCTACTTCATAAAACTAATTTTACCTAATTTTGGAAAAAAAAGGCCAGAAATTCCTATATTTTTTTATGCAGCAGTGAATGAACTCACAAAAAATTCAAAAAGAGGGAAATTTGAACCTTTTTTCCTCGAAATTGCTCAATTTTCCAAAAATTTTCTATGAAAAACCCTTGAAACTCCTAAATTTCTTTTACTTCTTATCACTGAATTTACCAAATTTCCAAGCCTTTTTTGAGATAAATACATAAATTTCAACTTTTACTCATCCCACAGTGGATAAACTTTCACATAAAACTTCTTTTTCAAGCCAAAAATAGCCTTTTTTCTGAATTTTTTCTACTTTTCCAGTCCCTTACCCCTCCTCATCGCTCGAAGACGAAGTCCTGGTTTTCCTGGACCCTTTCGATTGAATCGAGGACCGGGATCTCTAAAAAAATCCATTTTTCTTGAGATTCTGGGTAAATTTTTAAGTCTACCTCTTCGAAATGAGAATTTTTGTATCGGATCGATTCGCCGTGGTGGGATTTTTTGGCGGCCGGTTGTGAGGAGACATTTTTCCGATTTTCGATATAATCCGACTCTGTGGAGCTGTTCATCTGTAAGAAAAAAATCGTCTCAATCTTGAATTTTCAAATAAAAAAAATTTCCTTGCATTTTCTTTTCGGAAAATCTGACAAAAAAAGCATCAAAAAAAAGGGCTAAAATACAAATTTTTCCGATTTTTTTGAATAAATTACCAAAATTATGATCAAAAAGAGTGTGCTGAAGGAAGAGGTTTAGAAAAAAACTTCAAAAAAATTTCCCTTTTTTTCCATTTTTTTCTGTACGTTCTGTCTATCCCTAGAAGCTCAATTTCAAAAAAATGCGTTGAAAAAAAAAAATTTTTGAAAATTATTTTTGAAAGGCTAATGCGCACGATATATCACGTAAAAAAAAATTTTAGGCTTAAAAAAAAAATAAAGAAACTGTAAAGTCACTTAAAAAATTATTTTTGCCTACCAAGTGCGCTCCATCGATAATTTTCCTTGAAAACTTCTTCTCAAAGTCTTATTTGCTATATTTATGCTTGAGGTCCATTAAAAGGAGATAGAGCTCGTTTTTTGCTCATTTTGGTTCATATAAAAGTCAAGAAACTGTAAAATCGTTCAAAAAATTCTTTTTGCCTAGCAAATGCGCTCCATCGAAAATTTTTCTTGAAAATTCCTTCTCAAAGCCTTATTTCCTATATTTATGCTTGAGGTCCATTAAAAGGAGATAGAGCTCGTTTTTTGCTCATTTTGGTTTAAATAAAATTCAAGAAACTGTAAAATCGCTTAAAAAATGATTTTTGTCTACCAAACGCGCTCCAACGATAATTTTTCCTTAAAAAAACCTTCTCAAATCCTTATTTCCTATATTTATGCTTGAGGTTCATTAAAAGGAGATAGAGCTCGTTTTTTGCTCATTTTGGTTTAAATAAAATTCAAGAAACTGTAAAATCGCTTAAAAATGATTTTTGTCTACCAAACGCGCTCCATCGATAATTTTTCCTTAAAAAAACCTTCTCAAAGCCTTATTTCCTATATTTATGCTTGAGGTTCATTAAAAGGAGATAGAGCTCGTTTTTTGCTCATTTTGGTTTAAATAAAATTCAAGAAACTGTAAAATCGCTTAAAAAATGATTTTTGTCTACCAAACGCGCTCCATCGATAATTTTTCCTTAACAAAACCTTCTCAAATCCTTATTTCCTATATTTATGCTTGAGGTTCATTAAAAGGAGATAGAGCTCGTTTTTTGCTCATTTTGGTTTAAATAAAATTCAAGAAACTGTAAAATCGCTTAAAAAATGATTTTTGTCTACCAAACGCGCTCCATCGATAATTTTTCCTTAACAAAACCTTCTCAAATCCTTATTTCCTATATTTATGCTTGAGGTTCATTAAAAGGAGATAGAGCTCGTTTTTTGCTCGTTTTGGTTTAAATAAAATTCAAGAAACTGTAAAATCGCTTAAAAAATGATTTTTGCCTACCAAGTGCGCTCCATCGATAATTTTTCTCATATTTTCCTTCTCAAAGTCTTATTTGCTATATTTTTGCTTGAGGTTCATTAAAAGGAGATAGAGCTCGGTTTTTGCTTATTTAGGTTCAAATAAAAGTCAAGAAACTGTAAAACCGCTTAAAAAATGATTTTTGACTACCAAATGCGCTCCATCGATAATTGTTTTCCTTAAAAAAACCTTCTCAAAGCCTTATTTCCTATATTTATGCTTGAGGTTCATTAAAAAGGAGATAGAGCTCGTTTTTTTGCTCATTTTGGTTTAAATAAAATTCAAGAAACTGTAAAATCGCTTAAAAAAATGATTTTTTTGTCTACCAAACGCGCTCCATCGATAATTTTTTTCCTTAAAAAAACCTTCTCAAAGCCTTATTTCCTATATTTATGCTTGAGGTTCATTAAAAAGGAGATAGAGCTCGTTTTTTTGCTCATTTTTGGTTTAAATAAAATTCAAGAAACTGTAAAAATCGCTTAAAAAAATGATTTTTTTGTCTACCAAACGCGCTCCATCGATAATTTTTTTCCTTAAAAAAACCTTCTCAAAGCCTTATTTCCTATATTTATGCTTGAGGTTCATTAAAAGGAGATAGAGCTCGTTTTTTGCTCATTTTGGTTTAAATAAAATTCAAGAAACTGTAAAATCGCTTAAAAAATGATTTTTGTCTACCAAACGCGCTCCATCGATAATTTTTCCTTAACAAAACCTTCTCAAATCCTTATTTCCTATATTTATGCTTGAGGTTCATTAAAAGGAGATAGAGCTCGTTTTTTGCTCATTTTTGTTCAAATAAAAGTCAAGAAACTGTGAAGTCACTTAAAAAATGAATTTCGGCTACCAAATGCGCTCCAGCGATAATTTTTTTCAAAAATTATTTTTCAAAGTCTTATTTGCTGTATTCATGTTTGAGACCAGCTAGAAGGATGAAAAACTTCTTGTTTTGCTTATTTTGGATCATTTCGAGCACAATTTTTTCAATTTTAAAAACTACACACATAATTTTCTTCTCGACGATTTGAAATCTCGTCGTCGGAATCGTCAGAAATGCGATTGGGACTGTAGGAAACCTGAAATTTTCTAAATAAATTCTGGAAAAAAATCCCTGAAACTCACAAAATTTCTTTTTCCGATTCATTCAGGGAAGATCCTTGGTGAAATCTTTGGAAATCTCTTGGTCGGCCATGTCCAGAACGGAAACTATCGTAAACCTTCAATTTTATCTATTTTTTTCAAACTCTATTTAAAAATGAAAAAAAAATTTTTTTCAAAAAAATCCAAAAATATCTCAATTTCCGCCGGCTAGTGCGCTCCACCGATAAAATCTTGTTTTTAACCAATTTTTTTCGCCATTTTTTTCTTCAGATTCCCTTCAATTTTTTTACTTTTTTTATATCGTCTAAATTCGGTGAAGATCCCAAAAAGATTTTTTTGCCGCCAGGTGCGCTCCACTGATAAAATTTTGTTTTACCCAATTTTTTTGCCATTTTTTTCTTGATGTCCAGAACGGAAAATATCACACACCTCAAAATTTACCTATCTTTCAAAATTCTGTCAGAAAAAAAATTTTTCTAAAAAAATCCAAAAATTTCTCAATTTCCGCCGGCTTGTGCGCTCCACTGATAAAATCTCATTTTGACCGGTTTTTTTGCCATTTTTTTCTTTCAAATTCCTTCCAATTTTTTGTTTTATTTCGTTAAAAATCGATGAGAAAGCCCAATGAACTCGAAATTTACGCTTCCTTGTGCGCTCCACTGACAAAATTCTCTTTTCAACTAATTTTTGTCACTTCCTGTTCAAATTTCTCTCTTTTTCTTCAATACTTTGTTGAAAATCGGTTCATAAATAGCCGGAAAACTCAATTTTCACACCAAAAAAGAACGAATAACCCAATTTTTTGCCGTTTTTTCTGGAATTCTTTCTATTTTCAGGCCTAAATTTCCGTTTTACCTGCGAATTTTGCCTGGAATAACGGTGTTCAGGTTCTCTCGACGGTAGGGTCATTTCTGGAAAAATCAATAATCCCACTTTTTTTAAAAAAAATATTACCTCTATATTGATTTCTCTGAGAGGCGATGCTCATTTTGCGATTCTGAAAAACTCAAAATTTATTCAAAAAATCCTGAGATTCAATAATTTACTGTTTCAAGCTTATGCTAAATTCTCAAACTTGATTGTTCTTCAAGTGGTCCCTAGAGGGGTAAAGTTAAAGTGGTCCGTATAGGGATTTACGGTCTGATTCCTTAGCCCTTGTAGCTCAAGTGGTCCCTATAGGGGTCTAGGTTCTCAAATAGACGCCCCTGAAGCTCAAGTGGTCCATATAGGGGTTCGGGTTTTCAAATTGACGCGCCTGAAGCTTGAGGGGTCCCTATAGGGGTTTAGGGTCTGACCCAGACGCGCCTAAAGCTCAAGTGTTCCCTATAGGGGGTTGGGTTCTCAAATCGACGCCCCTGAAACTTAAGGGGTCCCTATAGGGTTTTAGGTTCTCAAATTGACGCCCCTGAAGCTTAAGGGGTCCATATAGGGTTTTAGGTTCTCAAATTGACACTTCTGAAGCTTGAGGGGTCCCTATAGGGGTTTAGGTTCTCAAATTGACGCGCCTGAAGCTCAAGTGGTCCCTAGAGGGGGCTAGGTTCTCAAATTGACACTTCTGAAGCTCAAGTGGTCCCTAGAGGGGGCTAGGTTCTCAAATTGACACTTCTTAAGCTTGAGGGGTCCCTAGAGTGGTCATCTGATTTTCTGTTCTTACTTGAAAATTAAAAAGACATCTAGGGGTCTCTTCCATGATCCCCTAAAGTGACTACTTTCGCAAAAGCTTTACCTATGAAAACCTCTAAAGTTGCCCCTCTAGGGACCACTCTGGCATTTTACTTAAAATGGAGATGAAGCAGGAACCTGAGGAGTCTTGGCCAAAGTCTGGAGCATACTTTCCAGCTCATCCAAATCGTCGTCACTTTCGGAAATTCTCGATGGAGGAGGAGGTCTTGGGGCTGGAAAAAAAATCAAATCAACTTGGGGAAAAATTTGGTCGCACTGGGAATGGCTCGGAGCGTTAAAAATCCGTAAAATGTCCAATTTTTTTTTCCTTCCAAGGTAATTTTGGCTGAAATAAGTACATATTTTCTGTAACTTATGTCAAAAATGATATAAATTATAACGTAGATTTTGAAAAAAATGAACAAAAAAACCAGGAAAAAAAGGTTACAATATTCTCATTTTCAATGGAAATGCAGCTCAAAAAAATTCTGAAAACTGCCGATTTTTTAAAAATTTTGATGAAAAAAGTGAAAAAATCACTTATTTTTGGACCAAAAAAATCATTTTTAAAAGTCCATAAAATCATTATTTTTAATGAAATTAAAGCTGAAAAATGCCAAAATTCTGTCAATTTTCAATTAAAAATGTGAAAAAATCAACAATTTTAAACAAAAAAAAAAAAACAAAAAAATCATAGAAAAGTCCATAAAATCATCATTTCTAATGCAACTAAAGCTGAAAAATCCTAATTTTTAAATGAAAATAAAGCTGAAAAAAATAGCAAAAATTCTGTCATTTTTTTAATGGAAAAAAAGTGAAAAAAATCAACAAATTTAAACAAAAAAATTCTGTAAAAGTTCATAAAAACCTCATTTTCATTGCAACTAAAGCTGAAAAATGCTAAAATTCTTCCATTTTCCTCAAATTTTACCCTGAAATTCCTCAAATTTCGTCTTTTTTCCCTAAATTCCCCTCTGCTCAAAAAAATAGAAACTGAAAAAAACCTTGAGGCCGTTCCCAGTCGTCGCTCCTCCCACTGCTCGAACTTGCAAACTCTCTGTGATCCTAAAAAAATCAATAAATCGATATTTCTTCGATAAAACCAACCCTCTGATTGGAAAGTCCATGGGGACGTGACTTTTTCGGGCAATTTCGGAATGGCAAATTGAGGCGATCGATCTCTTTCTTGCTAAAAATCAATATTATTTTTTTAAAAATTCTGAATTTTGGCTTTTTTTGGCTGGTTCAAAATTTACATGGAAAAAGTCGATAATTATTATGAAAAAAATCGACAAAAAAACTTCAGATTGCCGTTTCGTAAAAAAACATTAAAAAGTGTTAAAATCATAATATTTTTATTAATGAGAGTTTTTTTAACTGTTCAAAAAAATCATTTTTTACAAAAAAATTGGAAAAAAAGAATCTATTAACTACACAAACGTGATAGCTAAAAAAATTGACTTTTTTTCGATTTTTTTCAAAATTAAATTTTTCCGCTCATTCTCTAGAACCCAAGTACAGAAATGATTTTTTCCAACTTTTCCCAAAGAAAAATTTTTTTTTCGCAAAATTTCCCATCAAAAATCACCTCAAAAGGTCTCTGATCAGTGAAATTTCTGTTCTCCTGACGTTTGGACGGCGGATTTTCGTCCTCGTCGAAGACCGTTTTCGTGAAAACTCGACGGTTGGTCTCCTTGTCGCGGAAACCTGAAAAATGCAAATTTTGACGAGAAAAAGTCATTTCAAGGGCTTTTCAAAGGCTGAGAAATCAAGAAAAAGCTGCGAAACTTGAGCAAAATTTGTAAAATTTTTTGTCGAAAAAGGTCATTTTAAGGCTTCTCAATGACTTGAAAACTCTCTAAAGCTTTTTTTCTCAAATTCAGACGGAAAATTCGAAATTTCAAGCTACTTAAAGACTTGAAAATTACGAAAAAAACTTTCCTTTTTGAAAATAATCAAAACTGAAAAACTACATCCAATAGAGTTTTTCGAAGCGTTTAAAACTTAAAAAAAAAAAATTAATTAAAATTGCCAAAAATTGTTGTCCGTTAAATATTTGAAGGGACATAGAGGAAAATTAAAGGAGCATGAAGAAATTTTAAAGGAGCACATTCAAAAAGGCTTTTTGGAACTTTGAAACGTCGAAACTGACACATTTTCCCTATGAAAATCGCAAAAAATCGTTCTTTTTTGTAGATTTTATAAGGGCAAATTTAAAAGGAGCATAGAGGAAAATTTAAAAGGAGCATAGAGGAAAATTTTTAAGGAGCCTGAAACAAATTTTTAAAGAAGCAGGTCCAAACGCATTTTTTTAGAACGTTAAAAAAACTCCTAAGCTAAGAAACAAAAATCGCAAAAAAATTAAAATTTCTGTTTAATTTTTTTAAAAGGAGCATAGGGGAAATTTTAAAGGAGCATGAAATCATTTTTTTAAAAGAGTACAGCGGATTATTGAAGGAGCAGATCAAAAAAATTTCGAAACGTTAAAAAAATCAAAAAAACTTCAAATTTCTATCGATTTTTTTAAAAGGAGCATAGAGGGAATTTTTTTAAACACTATCAAGAGGAATTAATTTTGAAATCCCAAAATGCTGATTTCCGCTCACATCTCAACGGCGTGACCGTGTCGATTTCGGTCTCCCTGCATTTTCGGACAAAAGTCTCGTTCAGATCGTCTTTCGAAACTTTTCTCTGCTCGGAAAATCCTCGTTCTTCCCGCAGTTCGAACACTTCTGGTTCTTGACGAGGGGCTGAAAAATAGGAAAGTGAAGAAAAAAAAAATATTTTTTGACGTTCAAAGAGGGGAACAAATGGATGAAATTTAGATTGAGTATTTTTACAACGAATTTCCGAACAAATCCTAATCAAATTCGGACTCGAAACTATACTGAGAACTTGTCAAAATCTTAAAAAAACTAAAAAAATTTTTAAAATTTTTAAAAAAACGACTTCGAAAATCGCATTTTTGCCCCTTCTTTTTTGTCAATAACTTGATTTTTTTACAGATTCAAAAATCGAAATGAAAGTTTCAAAATCTAATATCAATCAAAAAAACTTGCTCTTGAACTTCTGGATTTTTTTCTTCATATTTTTCTTGTCAACTAAAAAAAGATAACAGAAAAAAACTTCAAAAAAACATTATTAAAAAAAGAACAAACAAAAAAATATTTGAACAAAAATATATATATACTTAAAATTTTTCCAAACTTTTTCCCAAAAGAAAATTATAATTTTTTTAAAAAAACGACTGCGAAAATTGCATTTTTTTCACAAAAATTAAAAAAATCACAGAAAATCTTCAAAAAAACATTGATAGAAAAAAACAAAAAAACCTTTTTCCGGAACTTTTTTTGGGAACCACCGATTCGGCTCGTTCTCTCAAAGCTCCAGCTTCACTGTCCGTATCGTCAAAAGTGACAATCGGCTCGTTTTGACGCGAATCGCTCTCCGAAACGAGCGTCGGTCGGATTTGGCACGTCTGCGGCTCTTCCGGCGACTCTTCGATGCATTTTCGCTTCGGGAAAAAATCCTCGGCTCGTGCGCTGGAATTCCAGAAACTTATTTTGAGGTTTACAAAAAGAAAACAATAATAAAAATCAATTTTTTGAAAAAAAACTCTTCAAAAGGGTTTGAAACGTATTCGAAGTTGGTTTCGGGGCGAACTTAAAATTCCAATTTTTTTCCAAATTTCTACTCAAGATGAACATGTGAAAAACTGATTGGACATTAAAATCAACTTATTGGATTTTTGAGAAAAGAATAAATTTAAAATAATGTTTTTAATTAATTTTTTTGGTGGACTCAGGTTCATTTTGGCGTGTTTCTTTGCTACTAAAAAAAATCCCAAAATGTTTTTGAGATTTTTTCGAAGATTCCTAGCCCTTGGCCGAGTTCAGAAAAATATTTTTCAAACTAGGAAATTTTTAATATAATGAAGAGAAAACAATTAATTTCTTCCACACAAGG